TGGTGGTTTGGAAAGAAAGAGAGAAACTGTTGCCGTCAGGGGATCCTGCAAGTCAAATATAAGCTCTGCTTAGTGTGGGCTGAGCTGCACAAAGCTGGTGGTGCTTTTTTCAGTTGCACGGTGCGACCATGCGAAACTGCCGTGTGACAAAACGAGTGGACTGATCAATCAAGTCTGCGTGATTCAAATTTAAGGGAGATGGAGATGGACGAGCGCTGGAGTTCTTTCATCATGGAGGGGAAGAGGAAAGGCTCTGGAGGATGACTGATGGATGGTCGAGACAGGAACAAGAGTGAGAAATGATGATAAGGGAGGGATAAGCGATAAGCAACTAGAAAGGGTCTAGAATCTCAAATTAGGCGGCAAACGGTGGGCCTAGACAGGCGGTGAGGTGAGCGAGGCGGTGGGCCTGTTTTCTGCCGGTTAATTCCACATTCTGCCATTCGGCTGTCGATCTACGCTCGCTCCAAGTCAACCAAGTCAACCAAGTCAACCATCTCCCCCCACGAACATTACCCTCCACCTAACAGAGAACAAGGTCCACCATTTTTTCATTTGAATCTGAATTTCAATGGAGACCAGAGCGAACATTGCCTGCGACCAGTGCCATGGTCACAAGCTCAAATGCACCCCCCTCTCGCAGGGATGTGTTCGTTGCACTCGTATACTCCCCCGCCCGGTACACGCCGCCGGCCTCCCACTGAGACGCCAGCAGGTCTCGCCATAAGATGCACCTTCACTCGACTACCCAAGAAGCGTGGCAGGAAATCAACCCGCTCACGACCATCTCCTGCATTGATGAGGCATGCTCCTGACTACCCCGTCTTGGACTGCTTGAACGGCCTCTCAGTTCTCAGTCGCGAGAAAGAGGAGACGGAGTAAAACTCGCTCATTTGACATCGGCACCGACGACTCTTCTAATACCCAGGTCTAGATCCACCACCATCCGACCTACACGATACGAAGCATCGCGGCTGCTGGAACATTCTTACGAGTCTCCAAATCAGGAGTTTCACACACGTCTTATCCGAAGAAGCAGATTACTTGACCTGGAAAGCCCGCGATCAACTTCGCCAACTCTGCTGCTGTCAATTCTGTGTATGTACCCGAGTCCCTTAATCAATGTTGGCAATCGGCACTCCATCTGACACGTCTCAGGTGTTTCATGTTTCATGCCGACGGCAAAGAAGCGAGCAGATTCGACACGACGGATGGCACAAGGAAGATACTTTTTCGACCAACTGAACCGCCACTTTTATCCACGCACATTTCCTGGCACCAACCATGTTTTTGACGATGCGCTGACTGCGTTCATGCTGACTACCATTGCTCCTAGTGAAAAATCGCTCGAATCGGGTCTTCAGCATTGGCTGGTATTTTTGAATTTCGTCGTGCAGAAGCTAGATCTACACAAGGATGACCAGGGTATGGATGAGGATGATAGGGAAGAAAGAAGAAGGTATGCATTCCACATCATATCAGCTGATTAGTGCTGACAGTATAGAGGCTGTGGTGGGCCACCTATATCATCGATCGGCATGCCGCTTTATCGTTCAATGGGCGCCCACGTCTCACTGATCAAGAATGCTCGTCGTTGCCCACACCGTGCCCAGATGCGATCTGGGACTATCCGGCACCGTTGCCTCGATCGGAGAACCGCCCCCCTCAGAGTATGGTATGGAGATATCAAGTCCATAGTCTAGATATGCTTGGGACGTTCCTGCCCCTATCGAGGTATTCAGCAACGATCTTAGCAAGCGCAGCGTTACAGCAGCAATTGCTGATTGTTCACAGAATCTTAGGCGACATTCTTGAGTATCGCTTCCTCGACGATCATCCAACATTCAACACCAATAGAGCTCTGCTGGAGACGAGCCGCACAACCATTATCCAGAACTTGCAGCTGTGGTTTGATTCCTTTGAATCGCTAGTTAAACCTGACTTCTGTCGAATTGCAGAGCCAGAGTGCGAGCTGCTGCCGGGAGGTAGTAAACCAGCTGTCGCATATTACGGCTTGCACATGTACCACTGCATGTTTGTGCTGCTCCACGGTCGCATGGATGTGGTTCGCATGTATCATGATCTTCAATGGCAGGCATCTCCCGACTTCCTTAAAGCTGGCGAACACGCTGTCGCGTGCGCAAACGTACGTCTCATCCTTGGCAGATTAACATGTCCCCATCACCGCCATCCAAACTGATTTGCCACTTAGGTTGCACATCACATCCTCCGGATTGATCCTCGACTAAGCTTTATGTATCGCTACTTCGGCACATACTTCCTACAATCCTCCTTCATCTTCCTGATCCTGGCCCAGAAACTAGGCCAACAATCTGACAGCCTGATTTTGCGCAATTGCGCGATCAATCTCCAGGTTTTGGACAAATTTGTGCTAGCCACAAACATGGATTACCAGCGAACGTTTGCTGAACTGCTTCGCAAAGCTCTTAGCCACAACATGGAACGATCTTCTCAGGATCAAGGTCATACTTACCATGACCGTACTTCGCCACTTGAAGAAGTAGAAAGCCATCTAGATCCAGAAATGCTTCGGTATCGCTGGACTCCGGGCTTTACGGGGCTATGGGCACATACAAAGCCTTGAACAGACAACGACTTGGGACAACTCGATTGCTCTACTTGGAGGGCGCTAAGATAGCCCATGGTCTAAACTTCAGTGTGGGAAACGTTTCACTTGGACCATGTACATTGATTTAAACGACCCACATCCAAAGTTTGCCGCTTTCTGGGAACCAGTCCTTCATGACACTATTCTGATGCGCCCGTCTAGAATATACCGTCCTTGTTTAGAAAAGATGTCCTCCACCACTCAGGATGTTGGCAATTTGCCTAGCCTCCTGCGGGTATTTATCGACGAGGCTTAATCGCGACTTTCTGTCCACCCAGACCTCGTCTAGTGCCATGTCAACTGTGATTGCAGTTCGGTCCGGCTGGTACACGGTCGCCAAACCTGGTTCATAGTTGGCTGACCGCGAGCCAGTGATAAAATTGACCCAGTCAGTCTGAACACGATCGACTAGGCTGGCATTAGGTACTGTGCCGGGCGATAGCAACTTATCCGCTTTACGCAATGCTTCGTCGAAGCAGTCGTAGATATAGATGAGATCTACACAGTGGTGGGCTTTGCCATGATTCAATCCTGGAAACGGATTGCCGACCGCCATGCGGAATGATTGTACCCGGGTTGGTCGGGGGGACGGTTCTTTACCCTGGCCGCTGTAGCCTGGATTCTCCCAATCCATCAGCTCCTCCCTGCAACATTGAACAGGATACCCGAACTGTATGTCCGATAAGAAGCGATAGACCTGTTCGTGCAGGCTATCCTTGCTCATGCCTGGACGCAGACGGTATGCTGCAAAGAAGTCATTGCAGAATTCTTCAGATAACTTGGCGGCAGCCGACCAATCGCATATCTGTTCGAAGCTCTCAAGTTGGCTGACTGATGACTGGTGGAGTGTACCCTGTGGGCTCATCAAGTCAGTACGTTGCGTGATCGGAATCTGGATTACGACGACTGACCTCGAGATCTGCATCCCCTACCAAAACAGATATGATTTCTCTAGGGTGGCTCGCAGTACCATTTGGAGCTCTCATCGTTCCACTTTGGTCGAGGTGCACACTCCAACGTCCGTTCGGTCTTTGGGAAATGGTCAGTTCATCCATAACCAATGGAAAGACAAACCAGCCTAACGCCGCATTCGCACGCAAAATATCATCTGCTGATACATTCCGCATGAAATCCATACGCGAGGTTGTGCTTTCGTTGGTCGCGCCGAACTTCTTACAGAAAGTGGCCCATCGGGCGTTTGCATCACCCATCGTGATTGGGCCAAGCACTCCCACGGCTCCAGACTGGATGATCCCCTGCTGGCACAGCGGCTTACGCTTGCTCAACGCCGCTTCGAGGACATGGGCATGAGATGAGCTTCCGCCTGCCGACTGGCCACCGACCGTGACTCGGTTTGCGTCACCTCCGAATGCCCTGATGTTCCGCTGCACCCACTCGAGGGCAACTCTTTGGTCCCCAAGCCCAAAGTTGCAACCCCGTTTGCCTTCTGGTTGAGCATCGATGATTTCAGTGGAAGCGGCGAATCCGAACATGTTGAGTCGGTAATTGATTGTCACGACAATGATGGGAGTGCCCATCAAGACGGACTTTCTAACAAGACGGGCAGGATCTAAGGTACCAGTCAGCCTCGATATTTGAACATGGAACCTGTCACTCTAACCCCACATAGGATCTGTCCCCGCGCCGAAACCATATGCTCCTCCATGGATGTATACGTAGACCGGCAACCCTGGACTGTCGAACTCGAAGCCGGCAGCAGCAAGAACGTTCGGACTCGGTCTCGTGATGAACAGGTTCAGGCAGTCGAACTCGGACTCTTTCACATCTTGTGGAAACTCGAGATGCGATTGATAGAAGTCACTATTGTTAGGCTCTTGCGGTTGTGGGCAGCGGGGACTGTGGGAGAATTATGGTTATTCGTGCTCTGGCACGGATTGGACAGGAGAACCACGCACCCATTGTGTGTGGCGTCAAAGGCATCATGTGGCAATCGATCACGGAGTTGAGCATGCTGCCACCTTGCTGGGACACTTCCATAAGGGATACCTCGGAACTCTTCGACTCCCGGTATGGACGATGGTTTCCCCAGAACTCGTTGCTCATAGGAGGAGATGGTATGAGTCGGGAGGGTGACGACAACGGAGACGGTCATTGTGAGGAAGGCGAAAATGGCGACCAGCTTAGGCAGAAGTCTGATACTCTCAAAAGCAGGCAGAGTAGGCCGACAGTTCGGTCTCTTTCACGATTCGGCGCGGCTAATCTTTTATACCTCAGTTTTGAGCGAGCGGGCCGAGGTGGATCCCGCACGAATCACGAGAACTCGAGCCACGCGGGCCCAATGCACGGGGTGGAGGCTTCTACGAGGCATGCAGCCAATCTGATGGCGCGAACTCCATGGCTGCCAAACTCTAGTCGGCCTATTTTGTCCTTGGCAATCGGCTTTTTATCAGCAGCCGGGTCTGGCTCCCTCCAGTTTTCGGACGTCTTCGTTACCCCGTGGGAAACCCCGGATTTCACAGACTCGGATCTGCTAGATGATTTTCGTTTTCGTGGACTATAAAACCTCAAAACATGCTCGGGGGCTCCCACAATCTTTCCGTCGATCGTCCCCGTGGAATGTGCTAATACTTGCCTCCTTGCCTGTGCCCAAGAATCTCTGCGAAGAAGATGACTCACGTTCTTGATATGCTTGGAATCCGGGGAGAATGGAGGGCAATCGCAATCAGCTTGTTCATCACGATTGCTGCTTTTCAGTTTGGATTCGACTCTTCCTACTATTCTGGTAGGTAGTCAGGACGTCTCACCTCAGAAGAGATACACCTTCACGATTCAGCATCATGGTCCCGTCTGTTGGCTGAGCTAATGATGCTGTGACAAATAGGTATCCTCGATATGGATCCCTTCATCAAAGCTTATGGACACTACGACAGCGCGACCGGTGGCTATGTCCTCAGTTCCAGCATTCAGTCACTTACCACTAGCATTATCAACGTCGGGGAGCTTGTCGGCGCTGTCTCCTCCTACCTGGTAGACGATCGCATTGGACGTCGAGGAGGGCTCTTTGTGTCTAGTGCCTTTGTTACTGCCGGTGTGATCTTCCAGGTTGCTGCTGATAACCTCGCCTTGTTGATCGTTGGAAGGCTGTTAATGGGTACGTTCTAAACCCCCAGGTAGCATTGAGCAGCATGCATATACCCAGGCTGTCACATATGACATTTCAAAGCTAAACATTGATAGGCTACGCGGTGGGACTGATTTCGTGCCTGGTCCCCTTGTACGTTGCCGATTGTGCACCTACCCGCTTTCGTGGAGCATTGGTCTCCGTATACCAGTTTGATGTTGGGCTTGGACTGTTGTTCGGTGTGATTGTGGACTATGCTACCAAGGATCGAACAGATAGTGGTTCCTATCGGATTCCGATGGCAGTTCAACTTGTCTTCCCAATCATTCTAGTTCCCGGCCTCATATTGTTTTGCCCCGAATCCCCTCGCTGGCTCTTGTCGAAGGGGAGGACGGAGCAAGCACGAGCAGCCCTTCGACGACTGTACGGTGATCGACCGGACTTTATCGAGAGCGAGATAGTATATATCACAAGTATGGTTGAGGAAGAGCAGCGAAACGATAGTTCTTGGGGAGACCTGTTCAAGTGGAAGGTAGATGGACGGAAGACCTATCTCGGATGCTCCATTCAGGGTGAGCAACGTCTCCACAAGTCTTGTTTACTTCTTCTGTTCAAATTTGCTAACTCTGGGTGTTATAGCATTTCAACAGGCCTCAGGCATCAACTTTATAACCAGCTACGGGATTGTCTTCTTTTCGCAAATTGGGATTACCAACTCTTTCCTCATTCAGATGGGCCTGTACCTTACGCCGATGCCTGCGGTTTGGCTGAATCAGTACTGTGTTGAGCGCTTCGGTCGACGGGTGATGCTGCTCGTTTCCTGCTCTTTGGTGTGTGTGGTCTTGTTCGTCGTCGGTGGGGCGGGAACGGCCACGGACAAGACCATGAGCTTAGACCAAGTCATCGTAGCAATGGTCTACATCTTCATGGTCGTGTTCAATCTTGCCCTGGGACCCGCCGTGTGGGTGGTCACGTCGGAGATCTCGACCGGCCCCAACCGCAGCAAACTCATGGCCACCTCGACTGGTACCAACTGGTTCTTCAGCTGGGTAGTCACATTCACCTTTCCGTACTTGTTCAATGCGGATGGAGCCAATCTCAGCGCCCGGGTGGGTTTCATCTACGGTGGCCTGATGTTTGGCGCAGCAGTGTGGATTTACTTTTTCTTGCCGGAGACGGCCGGGCGATCCCTGGAGGACATCCAAGTGATGTTCGAAAATGGAGTTCCAGCGCGCAAATTCAAATGTGAGTCAAATGTCTTAGCACAGACGGTCTGGTCACTGATAGTCTACCCAGCATATGAGATTCCTCAGACAACGCGCCTTGCTGTCCTAGAGGATGAGAAAGAAGTCCGGGCTACAGAAATGGAGAGTGTATGAGCAGGGAGTAAGTTTGCCTGTACGAGTATGACTTGTCAAGGTCAGCTTCGAGTCTGCACAAGGGGGTGCCGGCTACACGATTTCCGACAGCCTCAGGCGGGAAAGTACTCGACACAGGTCTCCTGGACCAGCACTTACGAGACAGTTCGCCAAGCAGAAGTCAGACAAATCTCTCGTTCCGGCTTCAATAGTCTACTCGATAGTTTTTCGCAGGGCCTCGTGATTTCATGCACCCGTGCCCGTTTGCTACGAATCCACTGTTCCTGTTGGGATGCGTCCAATTCCGTGAGCTATGGCCTGTTTGTAATGTTGTGGTGTGGTGAGGGTTGAGTAATGGTAACCTCATAAGGTTTCCCCACAGATCGGAAATAGCGGGTGTGGGTGAAATATGCACCTATCGACCCTAATGCATGGGAGCCTATTTTTCCTCTCCCAGCATGATCGTGGAAAATACGACTGCACTTTTGCAACCTCGTGTGCTTGTTGCTGCCAGATCATCGAGTTCTGAGACATGGTATCCAGGGCAGTGAATGAGGGCGGACAAAGCGACCGCTTTTCTTTGCTCACGTCACCACCTCTTTCAGCCTCGAGTCCAAGCCAGCAGTCAGGCAGGCAGGCAGGGTGTAAGACAGGTTTCATACGAGGGTCACTCAAGCGATGGGGTTATTTTTATCTGCCGAGCTGGATCCATGGAGTGCAGGCAATACGAGAATGCGGGCTTGGCCGGGACTCAGTGATTGGGTTCCCTTCCGGGGTTCAGTGCGGGTAACTTCAAGACCTGCAGGCGGTGCAGTTCATTCACTACTTCTCACTACATTTCAATACTTCAACCATACTAACTCGGTATGGACAGTCACTGAGCCACTCAGAGGTACTATTTCGGTATTAACTCTGTTGCTAAGGTCTCCCCGCATCCGCAAGGCTTCCCATGTCTGTCAAGTCATTTTCCGATCTCCCCGGGCCCTACCACACCTTAGTTGGGTTGGCTGATGGGTCTCTTTCACGGCACCCTGCAGATCTCCGCAAAGTAGTCGGATGTCTTGGATCGAGGGCCGGGTTGTGATGTCAGGCCACCGACATCCCACGGTCACGTGTATCTTTAGGAAATGGGCAACCAACCCGGGGTCGCGTGCATTGCTCCTGTACCACGAAACATGGCCAGCCGGATCCACGCGGGCATGAACTGCTGTTGTGCGAGCCGGGGGACGACTCGATCGTGGCATCGGCTGTGCCCTGCGGTGTACCATCAATAGCATCCGTGTGCTCGTATACCAACATGCTGAAGTCTGGGACACTGTTTTTAGATTACGAAGTGGTGGCTAGGGAGGGGGAAGCCTCAAGCGATTAGGATTGACGGTGAAGGCTGGACAGATCTGGTTGAAGATCTGTACCAATGTTGATGATCGAGTGTTGAGATAAAGGGACGACGAAAGGTATAAATTGGTCGTGTCTGCTCGTCGAGATACAGCTTCATCATCAACATCAACATCTTCACAAGCCATCAGATCCAGTCTTCACCAAAGAACTCTCTCTTTCACTCTTCCACTCTTCTACTCTTTGACATCTTCAGAAATCCACCAACCACTTCATATAAAATGAAGTCCTTCACCACCATCATTGCCTCCATCCTCATCGCCGCCGTCTCGGCCGCCCCTGCCCCGGTGGACATTGAGGCCCGGGTGAACAGCGTCACCGTCTCCCTCGCCAACGACCAGAGCGGAGCCAACGCCGGCGTGCCCATCCCCGGCGACGGCGTCACCCGCAGCATCCAGACCCTCTACGGCGGCACCTCGGTCGGCTCCAGCGGCAAGGTCCTGGCCTCTTCGGCCCAGCTGACCAACTTCGCGCAGTGGTCGAGCTGCAACATCGTCAACGGCGGCAGGAGCATCGCCTACCTCAACTCCCAGCGCACCTTTGCCGATCTCGATGGCAATCCGAACGCTGCGACTCCTGTTGACTTGAGCGGTGCCACCATCACTTGCTGGGCTTGAGTTATTGAATGTGAGAGTGAGAAGTGGAGCGGGGCTGGGATTGACGGGTCGAGGGACTGGGGGATCATCCTAGACAGATGATGGATCTTTCGGACTGCTTTGCATGACTGTCATTTTGTTCGCTTTTTGTCTGGCCAGACGGGGGAGATGCTCTTTTTGATTTCGTGTTTTGGTGATGATGAGCGGTTTGCGCAGCGACTAGATATATATGCAATGACACTCCTTCGCATTTCTTGTGAATAGGTTTCTGGAGTGGGAGTGTAGCTGTAGCTGTAGCTGGAGCTGTAATAAAAGTGAAGCTTCAGAAGTAATACATGTATTTCTCTTACATAGTAGTCATCAATGAACCATGGAACGAGGGCTGATAGTAGTTCTTTGTTGTTGCTGTCTTGCGCGGTTTCATATTCTTTATGCTCATGAGTTACTAGTCTATACCAAGACCACAACAACCAGCATCATTGGTCTAGTGGTAGAATTCATCGTTGCCATCGATGAGGCCCGTGTTCGATTCACGGATGATGCACTCACTTTTTGCCTTTTTGCCTTCGACGTCGATCTTATATTTTGGCACTGGTACACCCCTCTACCAGAGTGTCTTTTGATTGCGAATGGGCTTAAGGAACATCATGTTGGAATTCATCATGCAGATAGACCCGCGGTTCAAATTGGTGGTACCATAGTTCTCCCGTAGCTTAACACCCACGAGTAGAAACTTGTCTATCTTCGGAATGCTCCCGAAAACTCAGCCAGCCAGGACCGCATACAGCACAACAGCTGGGCACCAACACAGCCAGAATAAGAATCTACGCCATGTACTCAAGTCGGAATCATCATTGCCATTCCATATTAGCCTTCGAGTAAAATCGAGGAAACCAAATTTACTGTACCCCTGGGCACAGCACCCCCGAAAAACAATCCACCCACCCACCTGCATCCCCGTAATCCCCGCATCAACCGACGAGAATATCTCCATAGCATAGGCCGGTGCCCAGAGTCTAGACGACATCACCACCAAAGACACCACCCAGCTCTCCCTCCTCCTCCTCCTTCTTCACGCTCAAACCCATCTCATCACCCCCCTGCGCACCTCCCTCATCCCTCCCAGTCTCCCCCTTCCCCGCTGCAGACTTTTTGACGGAAACCCGCCGCTTCTTCACCCGATTCGCCTCCGGCGACTCCGTATTCGCGTGCTTCCCACCCATGCTGAAGGTGATGGTGCTCCCGCCGTTCTTGAGGTTGCGGCGGAACTTCTCGAGACGCTCTTTGATGGCGCGGGCGGTGGGCTTTTCGTCGTCGTTGGCTGGGTTGCGTTAGTTTGGGGGATTTTCTGAAAGCTTGAAATTTTGGAGATGGGGAGGTACTCACGCCAGACGGCGGCCATCTTGTCGATGTCGATGGTTAGGTTATGGGTTTCGAAGAGGGTTTCCCAGAGCTGGGTCTGGGTGTTAGTTTTACGGAGGTTGGGTTGGGGGGTGGATGGGGGGATGGGGGGATGAGGAGAAGGTGAGCGTACGATGTTCATGTTTTCGGGGGTCCACTTCATTTTGCTTGGTGGTTGTGGATTCTTGCTTGGTGGTTGTGTGGTGTGCTTGGTTTGGGTGGTAAGTGGAGGTGGAGGTTTGGTCGATTAGGGGATGAATTTGAGGGTTGGATCGATAGGAGGATGAATTTGTGTGGTGTGTCGATGAGGAGATGGATATGAAAATTTGAACAGTGGTTGCGAGGGCGTGTTGGTTCAGTGTCGGCTTTGTTGGGATATGAGAAAGGGGATGGTGTATCGGTGGTGTCTGAGATGGAGATGGTGAGAGATGACTGTAGGATGACGGTTGTTGTAGATAGGCAGACTGCTCTGAAGAGGCTTGATGAGGGTAGTGGTTAAGCCTAAAAGGAGATGAAGAGCTTGTTGAGACGTCTTTATCTCAGACTGTGATACTGAGGTGATGCAGAGGTCTGGTGCGTGATTCACTGTTCTTGTTTGCAACTCAGTGTTATTGAAAACTGCTCAGTGAGGCGCTGGATCTCGATGGAGTTAAGACTTACTGATGCATTGATAAGTCCGGAATATGACGGTTATGTGTTGATTTACTGTTTGAGGACCTACAAGCATATCTGTGAAGAGCCAGGTGTAGTCCAGAGAATTACGTCTGTATGGCATGCAATGTTGACTTTTGAGATGCTCCTCTCTAAGTCCCCTTGGAAGCTACTTGAGCTCGATTCGTAACTTGATTCGGATATCATCATTTAAATTGATTCTTGTGCATTGGCACTACCAAGTAGGTGCTAGAAAACCGGTGACCCTCAAGGTAAGGCGAGAAGTATGGAAGGTAGCAGCACAGCCTCCCCTTCAAGCCATCAGGCGTAGGTCTTGTCGCTGCCATCACTATTATCCCCCTTGACAATAGTCTCTGCATCCTCCTCACTATCTTCTCCCTTGATGATTGGCTTCGCAGCCTCCTCGCTGTCGTCCTCGCTGTCATCCTCGCTGTCGTCCTCGCTGTCGTCCTCGCTGTCGTCCTCGCTGTCGTCCTCGCTGTCGTCCTCGCTGTCGTCCTCGCTGTCGTCCTCGCTGTCATCCTCACTGCTCGCCTTGCTCACAACCTTGGACACACTCTTGCCCTTCCTGGTCGGAGTCTTTGGCTTCGCGATGCGGGCCGCCTTGCGCTTGGCAGACAGAAGAGCCTGACTGGAGGGACCACTGCTGGCAGCAGTCGTAGCCTTCTTTCGGGGTGTGCCGACGGGGGTTCCGGGGTTACTGGTGCCGTCGGAGACCTGCTTTCTGAGTTTGTCCATCTGCTGCTGCACGGCTCGGATGGTGCATCCTTCTCGTGTATCAGTATCGATACTCTGACGACGGGGGCATTACAGCACTTACCCTGACCCACACAATCTGCTAGTGCGGTGTAATCAAGCTTGATACTTTGGTTTCTAAGCTGGGTCAAAACGCCGAGGAAAAGCTGTGATGCAAGATCGAGATTAGCATATGTGATGATGAGGATAGGAAATATAGTTTGACGGTGACTTACTTTCGCGTTGGCTTCTGAGTTCCAAGTGACAGCCATTTTGACGGTGATTGTGATGGTATGAGGTGTTGTGGTGGGTTGGAATAGCGAGGTGTAGATGTTGTGGATTGGAAGTAGATTTGCGTTGTTGATGTAGATGTTGTAGTTTGAAGTGGGATTGAGTAACCAAGAAGAAGAGAGTGAGATTGAAGTGGCTGGTAAGAGATTGAGTCACCTGAAAGGTGGAGTTGGTTGTGGTATGTTCTGTTATGGTAAGAAAGCCCAAGGGGTAGAAGCGATTTGAAGACAAAGTAGTGTCATTCACCTGTTGCCGTGGTTGGTGAGCTTCAGGCTTCCTCTTGCCTTCCTCGCGCGCAGTCCAGCTTCCTCACCCACTGCGCTACATTCACCTTTCTCTTGCTCTCTGCCCTCTCGTCTATCTCCTTCGCTTGGCCATGAATTCTATATCCTTCCGACGACTCAATATCTTATGTGATGTGCCAGATCCACCGAATTCAATATCCTTATGAGTATCTCTGCATTTGATCCCTGATATCATTCACCCCCGAGACGAACCGGACACGAACCAGTCGAAGTCCCCCAGCGCAACCGTCGGACCAATCCTAACGAAAACCTAAAGCTCTCCGGAAAATATCTGTATGACTAGCACTACTGGTGGAGATCGAGAGAAGAAGAGTAAGACGAACAGTGGACCGGTAGAAGCACTCGGAGACCCAGAAACTACAAGGGCAGGTCTGGCAGCCGAACCCGGTGATGAGCCACTGGGCTCTGCCTCGTCGGAGTCTAGAGGTATTGCAGAAGCAGAAGAGAGCAAATTGAATTCCCAACCCGGCGATGAGCCACAGAGCACGGCCTCAGCTGCAATGCTAGATGAGATACGAAGCGCCATCTCCAAACTTATCTCAAGCAGGAGTAGTTCCATGTTTGACCGCTCTGAGCCATTTTGGCAATACATGAGAATCGCGACAGCCACGGGCAGACCAATTCCTCAAAGTATCAGAGGGGCCGAAGCTTTATTGAACGCCGAAGAAATGTACGTCATTCCCAAGATGTTAGCTAGTAACGACCCCGAGAATGAGACTCCGCACAAGAAGCAGAAACTGAGCAATCTGCCGATGGCCTACCTTTCCACGTATTCTCAAGACGACTCCGAGACTTACTATTCCACGTATTCTCGAGACGACTTCGACGAGCCGAGTTACACAGCAGTCTTGGATCTAGAGTGGGGGTGGCACGTCGACAAACGGAAGGTAGTCCAACCCCTGAGAGAGGACTTCGTGAGAGTGAAAGAAGAGCAGAGCTGGCTGAACGATCCTGCGTATCAATGCAAGAACCATTCTGAAGCCTGTCACAACCTGGGCATTGTCGATGAACAATATCTCCAGATACCAGGAATGCGCCAGAATGCCGTTTTAGAAGAATGGCAACCGGTAGCCGTCCACAGACTTAACCAGATCCGACGGATGGGTCTGACCAGAGGAGCGATTCTCGCAGACGCTGTCGGCCTTGGTAAATCCTGGGAGGCACTGGCACTCATGATGCACATGGTCAGAACGGGAAGCCACCAAGGCAAACCTTTCATTGTTGTTGCTCCATCTCTCTTTGTTGATCAATGGGCCGAGAAAATACACGCAATAACTGATATTTTCCATATCTGGATCTATGCGCCCGACCGGCAAGGCGATGATGCATCATCCGAGAACCGCATTGTAACGAGATTGGAGGAGCAGCATGAAGTATTTGGGAGCAAGGAACAAGACCCCGCAGTGGTTGTGACCAGCTACGAGACACTCTCAAGCACGCATGGTCCCTCGGCCGTCAAAAAATGGTGCCGGAATCACGCGCAAGTCTATGATCCGGACGCACTAGACATGCCGGCTCGTTGCACCCGTTCCTTACGAGGAAAGTTCTCAATGGCGGTCTTCGACGAAGCGCACTTGCTATGCACACGTAGGTCAGGCTTTTCGCTCGCCGGTATGTGGTTACACGCCCCTTTCAACCTGCTTCTGACCGCAACTCCGTTCTTCCGTGACATTCGTGATTTCGATAGCTATGCGCCAATCTTGCTTTGGCCATATCCTCTACCTGCCAACGCTTATGACCCCACTCGATTGACTAGTATTTTCCATTCTGCATTTGGTTCAGACGATTCAAGAATCTTGTGCAGTAGAGAGTTTGTCTTCAAGCATGTTCTGGCGCCGGACATCGATCCTCCGCAATGCCAACTTCGCATTCGTGCCATACTAAAACACTTGATGGTTCGACGGACCGTAGCGTCTTGCGTATGGTTGGACTCAGATCGGAAAATCAGCGCGTGTCACCCACCAGCACTGAGACTAACCATGATCACTCCTTTCAAGGACGCAGAACTTCAGATTTATCAGCACTGTGCGGATACGTACCAGAGCGATTTCCTTGAACCGAGTCCTAAGCGTTGCTCGATTTACAAATGGGACATGCACAAACTCCGTCAAGTGCTTATGGGATCAACATGGATTGGCCTTATTGCTCTGGAACGGCGCTTGGCTTCCACGAGTTTAATCTCTGACATTGAGGCTCTCAATGACGGTAGAAACGAGGTGCTTCAGAGATTCCGGGAGGCCCTGGAGAAAGACGGAATACCAATGGCAGGGGAACAGGGAAGAAGCTTTTATCAGAAACCATTGCCAGCAGCAACAGGTCCGGATGCGGGTCCGAGTGATGGGAACAGAGATCCTCTACACCTCAAGTCCGAAGGGCTCGATCTTCTTCTGCACGGGTCACCAAAGATGCGTTCTCTCATAGAATCGCTCCAACATCAGGTGTGTCTTCTAGGCGAGAAGGCCGTGATCTGGACATACCACCCAGGAGAAGAAGCATTTGTCGGTGCAGCCCTTCATGAAACAGGCATTCCGTTCGCAATCCTTCATCCGGACTCCCAGAAGGAGAGGAGAGACAGCATCATCGCGGATTTCACCGATACAAGCGGCAATGGATGCATGGTTCTTGTTCTTTCGTACCTGGTTCCCTCTCTGGACTTGAATCTACACTTGGCGTGCCGACAGGTTCACCTGTTCTCGCCGCCCCCCTCTCGTGCAGCGTTTGATCAAGCAATGGGACAGGTCCTCGCCTTCCGGTGTGGACAAACCCGGCCGGTGACTATTTTCGAGCATCAGGTCCCCAATACTCTCAACATCAATCTTGACAGGCACAGCAGGTGGAGTGATCTACCTGGCTTCCAGACAAATATGTGTAAAAGTTTGGCGCCCAACTTGAAGAAGGGCGCGTTTGACCTTAGATGGTACGTGATCCGAGACGATCAAATTGTGGCTCTGGGACGTGGAGAGCGTCTGGCGAAGGGCGATATCCGGGACCCATGGCAGACGATCGAAAGGTTAAGGCGTTCGATATGGAACAGAAGCTAGAAGACTGCACGTTCGCATCTTCAGGCGGTAACGGGGAATGATGGGCTATCGGAGGAAAGCTGTTCGCCTTGCTGAATACGAGCGACGAGGATCGCCTGTCAACGCGCATAGCTTCCTGACCAGCTGTACTCAACTTGGGGAAGAGACGTGTATTTAGACATTTTGGTAGGCTGAGGCAGATTATTAGACTAGATAGAAGGACCAGGAGTCAGACTCCACAGACTTGGTCGTCTGTGATTTGTATAGAATATATCACAGAAGGCATCAGCCGATGACAATCCTTAGACCTAGACCACGATAGCATGTGTACTTCGTACGTGGAGAAGAGAATATTTGAACGAAAACAAACTCCCTTTACACACTGATGGTCCAAGGAAAGGCGCCTTTCTCCGCGGGTCGAATTATTGAGTCTACCTACTATTCCCGCTCGTTTCGTGAACGAGATATAGCGATGCCTGAGGCTGCGAGGCCGTCCATCGGGGAAATTGGCTCCTTCCCCGCATGCGCATCACCACACTCGAGCTTCTCCAACTATTTCCATCTCCATCGTGTTTTCATCCTCGCCACCTCCTTCATCAATTGTCATCTACCAATCATGCCCCAAATCATGCGCCCCCGATAGTCTTTGCTAGCCCAGCTTTATCATGGCGACGTCGACTGCCTCCGCGCAATCATGCGTGGGGTGCAAAGGTGAGTCAACCCCACCGCCAAGCAATCGCTGGTCGCTCATCACCTCAACGATTTCCAGATCACGACCTACGATGTAGGAGAATCACAACGTCAGAGTCTTCAAAGGCTACATGGCTGATACTTATAATCTTAGGCACCGAGGATACACCATGTCAGTCCTGCCAGAAGAGCAAAGCTCAGTGCGATCCTGCGCCCCCCAAAATCCGCTTCCGCTCGGTTCCTCGGCGCCGGCAAACATTCGATTTCGCGCCCGATCAGACATGGGTCCAGTCGAAGAAAAGACGTACGTACTCTCGGATGTAAGGAGCAAACATCTGTGACAGATACTTATAGCTTAGGCCGTTTGACGTATGTCGACATGACGCCCCATGTTGCGCGGGATAGAGCCACTTCCGATTCCGATGTGTGTCGAAACGCAAGTGGTGTGAGTGCGGTCGGTGATAGAGTGGCGAAGAAGGCGAAATTCCCCAGTGACGGAACTCGAGCAGCCCCCCCTCGTTCGCAGTCTTCATCATGTCTCGAGGGCAAACGGTATGACGGTCGATCTCCATCTACAGCATCTTCGGAAACAACGATACCAGATAAGGTTGCAGCTCGATCGTCTTCCTATCCTGTGGAGCACACGAACATGCGCAATCAACCCCCCACAGTTACACTGGGCGCATCAGAGAGGAGCAGATATCCGCCCGGGCCCCTACACGGGCTGCCAACGTCACATTCAGACGCTGCCTACCTGAACCTCGAGGAGGCTTGTTTGCTACGTCATTTTACCCAGAATCTGGCTCAATGGGTAAGCACACCGCCGGCTATCAGGTTCAAACACCCATAAGCGACTAACCGATCCAGTTTGATATCAGTGACCGCGATCGCCACTTCGCTCTTCATGTTCCCGAGCGAGCCATGTTCTGTCCGGTCCTTCGATACGCGGTATACACGGCCTCTGCGGGACATCTCAATCGCCTAGCATCATGTGGCAAGTCGTTGGAGACTCTTGGTTTTCCGGAAGAGGTTCGATCTCTGCTGAGTCCCGAGACGGCGATCCGTTATCACGACATTTGCATCTCGTATCTGTTTGAGATATCACATGACTCTGAGGAAGTGTACAACGAAGACGTGCTCACAGCTGCTACGATTCTTAGATTCTATGAGCAAATAGAAGGTAAAGCTCGAAAGGCATTATAGGCCACCAGAATTGACATGCTAATACTGCCCTGGATTTAGCTCCGTCACTAGGTGACTCGGAAGCGTACCTGAATGCAATTCAGTTTAATGTGAATACGCAACAAGATGAATCGTTCTATGCTTGGTTTAAGATCCATGGTCCAAGCCGAGATATCAACGTACACGCCTGCCCGTCTGTCTCGTTACGCCATTCCGCTGCTTTGAGTGCTCTCCGCCAGGAGATCTGGAGTGCTTTCCTCTACCAACGAGAGTTTAGACTACCGGTCTCTCCGACTAATGATTACACCATGTGCGACGCAGCGAATGATTTCATCTGGACCAACCGAATTCTTGTGTGGGTGGCTGACCTCTTATTGTTTTGCTTTGGTGACAATCATCGCTCTAGCGCGGAGGAGCGTTTGCAGCGCTGGTCCAAGTTGAAGACCGTCGAAGAGCGGTGGAAGGAGGCAAAGCCCGCGCCCTATAAGCCTATACATAATCGCGATCGGGAGCCGACGGTCGGAAAACACTTCCCTGAGATTTGGCACATGAACAGCTGCCAGGTGGCAGGGGCGCAGCATATTGAACTCGGTCGTATTCTGCTGGCGGTGTCTGACCCCCGGCGGGCGTCGCGGCTTGGACTCGGTGCCCTATCGAGGGACAAAGCCCTAGTTCAAGAGCTGCAGGATTGTACACGGCGTTTGTGTGGATTGGCGGTCTCGAATCCCCCTTGTCCGGCTGCCCTTGTCACGGCGATGGTAGGAATCTCCATATGCGGAGAGTATTTCACCGATCCTGGCGAGCAGGGTGCGTTAATTCGACTACTGGAAGGGCTGGAATGGGACCATGCATGGCCGACAGCAAGCACTATCAATGCACTGCAAACTGCATGGGGTCGCCCCACTTAAGGGAAACGCTATTGTAAAGACCTAGACCTCGCTGTTTCCCCAATACCCCGGATATTGGAGACTTGCGCCGGACCCGTGTATGAGCTGCATGCAAAGCTTGTGGGGCAAAGATCAAATGAAACAGCAGAAGCATATCACTGCAGCAAGATGCGATGCGATGTCGCCACATGTCCCAAAGAGGAAACTTGCCTTTTTTGGTAAGCAAGCGTGGCATCCATTGAAGACTCGACGGGCACATGCTCCTCACTCCATCAACAAAACAGACACTCTGTCAGGAGCACTTGCATGAGGCATACTTCAGACATCCCAATTTGATTTTGGCAGAGTCTGAGACGGGAAACTTCAGGCAGAATTGGCATCATTTCCCGTCCCAGCACGTGTGAAGTAATCTTCCGGCTATTGAGATATATGTGTATACAAATATGAACCCATGGAAGACATTTGCCAAGGCAGCACAGGCTTGTTGCAAGGCACAAGCCAACCTTCACTATGTTGGCACTCCTCTTTTTCGCAGCCGCTAGGTTTTGTAGTGTCTCCTACCTTTTCATTCTTCCGATTGTTCGTTACTTTCATGAGCCCAAAGGACTCCGCAAACACCCCGGGTTCTCGCCACTTTCGGGATTCACCGACCTGCGCCACATTTACCTGAGCGCCTGTGGCTACCGCTCGAAGGACCTGTACGAGGCTCACCGACGGGCCCCGATCTTACGCACCGGACCGAACTCGCTATCCTTCGGCGACACACACGCCATCAAAGATATCTATGGCCATAGCACACCATGTCTCAAAGACCTCAACTACGTGGTTCTAGGTGAAAGTCACGCCCACATCTTTGACGTGGTGGATACGAGCGATCATGCTCGCCAGCATAAAACGCTCTTCGCGGCGTTTGCCCTCGAGAACCTCGAACGCGGGGAATCTAAGGTCGCCAGACGACGGCCCGGCTCCTCAAGGCCATCGATGCCCATTGCACGACGCCCCTACCACCTGCAAACTGCGCAGTCACGAAGGTGATGACATCACGCGGCAGCCAGTGCGTCGGGACCGTTCCGAGACTAGGCCATTTCTGCTCTAGTCCTGCACGGTCATTGGCTGAGCCTATGTCGCTAGCGCGTCTACCCAATACGGCAAATTTCCTCATTAGGTGCGCTGAGTGCTTGCCGGATAAGGTTTTATCGCCACGGGCCAGGGGGGGATCCAATCACGAGGGTGGGATGCATTTCCCCCCCGTGTTTCCATCTCGTTTCCCCGGGTTCTTCCCCAGGTTTACACCGACTCTCATGCGGGAAAAAAAAGGCAGTCAATTGTTGGGTCGGAGCTGGATAGCCTGGTTTATGCTTTCCTTGGATTTCCATGGTCCGCGAGTGAGTTACTGTCGGGCTGGTGATGATGGTTGCTTTCCCTCGAAAATGCATATATACCCACTTCGTGTCCCCGGTCGGATGCATGTTCCAGTCTGTTGCAGGACAAGCGCATCTCCAATTCATTACATCCCTACGAAAATCATCTCTATCCATCCTTCGTGCATTCCCTTTCGCAGGTGTCACCATGTCGATCGAAGACGCTTCCCCGGAGAAGGAAAACAAGACTTCGGCTGTCCATGATGAGTATGCCGGAACACCTGTGAACGATGACACATCCTTGGACAAGGAGAAGGTGGTCCACGATGAATCCGTTGGGGATGATGCCCTGGAGATACTGTCGGCAGAAGTCAAGTACGACAATGGCCAGCTGCGCGATCTCATGCGGTCGCCGTATGTGTTCGGGGCAGCCTGGTTGGCATCTATCGGTGGTTTCTCCTTTGGCTATGGTACGTGTCAATCCGGAGATCATAGAGATGATTAGTTAATGACTGGGGCTCCAGATCAAGGTGTCATATCCATTATCCTCGAAATGAATCAGTTCCGACAACAATTCCCTCAAGTCTCGCCCGACAACGCGCACTACGGGTTTAACACCGGGCTGATGACCGCCATGCTGGAATTGGGCGCCTTCATCGGCTGTCTTTTCTTCCCTGCTGTCGCGGATCGGATCTCCCGCAAGTGGGGCCTGTCTGTCGCCACTTTCTTCTTCGTGGTTGGAGCCATCATTCAGACCGCGGCCTCGGACTATGCCACGTTGGTTGTAGGCCGGTTTATCGGCGGCATTGGTGTCGGAACTCTTGCTATGGGTGCGCCGTTGTATATCTCGGAGATTGCCCCTCCCCGTTGGCGTGGCTCTCTGTTGGTGTTGGAAGCCATCAGTATTGTCATCGGTGCCATCGTGGCCTACTGGATATCCTATGGAACGAAGTAAGTCATTCGAGCCAGCTAAACGACGGTCATGGAGAGTAGACTAACGGTTGAGTAGATCGATCCCCGGCGACTGGGCCTTCCGCCTGCCGTTCATCATCCAGATGATCCCTGCATTGCTGGTTGGCACCGCCATTCATCTCTTCCCCTTCTCTCCCCGCTGGCTGGCTATGCGAGGACGCGACGACGACAGTCTCGCCGCCTTGGCCAAGCTGCGGTGTCTGCCCCAGACCGACGAGCGCGTCCGACTCGAATGGAAGGGAATCCTGACCGAAGTTCGACTGCAGCAAGAACTCCTTGCCAAAGAGTTTCCGGACCACGCGTCTCGTCCCGTCATGGTGGGATTCAAGCAGTGGATTTCCCTCTTTCAAGTCAAGTATATCCGGCGCACCATGGTCGGCCTTGCCATTCCTTTCTTCCAGCAGGTTAGTATATCTCTAGCACGAGAGTCGGAATGACCTATATCTAATCACCTTCTAGTTCTCGGGGATCAACTCGTTTGTATACTACGCGCCCACTTTCTTTGCAGCACTTGGCCAGGATAGCAACATGTCGTTGATCCTAGCAGGCATGATCAACATTTGCCAGTTAGTGGGTGGGCTTCCAATCCTGGCTTATCTGGATCGCGCAGGACGGCGCCCGCTGGCCATCTGGGGTGGTATCGCCATGGCTGTGCCGCACCTGATAATGGCAGGACTCATGAACAAGTACAGCGGCGACTGGGCTGCGCACGAAGGGGTGAGCTGGTTCTGTGTTGCACTCATCTGTGAGTATCCGCCTTTTACTCTTTCAAGTCAGTACAAACGAAACTAACATAGACATCAGACATTTATGTTCTCGCCTACAGTACCTCATACGGACCCTTGGCTTGGGTCCTTCCAGCCGAGATCTTCCCCAGCAACAAGCGCGCCAAGGGTGTAGGTGCTGCCACGGCCATGATCTGGTTGGCCAATTTCATCATCGGGGTGATCGTTCCGCAGATGCTGATCTCTCTGGGTTGGGGCACGTATCTCTTCTTTGGATGTTTCTGTGTGGCCGCCTCCGTGTTCTCATTCTTCTTCGTTCCCGAGACCTCGAGCAAGTCCTTGGAACAGATTGCGGCTGTGTTTGGAGATCGCCTGAATGAGGAAGAGCTGCGGTTGCACCGTCGCATTGCTAGTGAGATTTATCATGGTACATCAATGGGGACAGCCAGCGTCGTATGAAATTGACTAAAGGCATGAGGGACGGCGTTCCGGTTTGTTTAGCGAGGGATGCAGCATAACGAAGGATTTTCCATAGCATAACGGAAATTGAATGACTCGATGAATGAATTCTTTGTTCCCAGTCCAGGAACTAGTTCCTGTAGTTCGCGTTTCTTGAAAAGAATGGACGGGCAGACGAAGAGGGAAGCTGCCTCTTTGACATCGACCGGAAAAGCAAACGCTGAGAGTCATCAGAGACAATTGCTTCTGCGACCCTACAATCAACAACATTAGTGAATTGGCAAAGTACCCAGTATCCTTACCTTTCAATCCTCGTTTTATCCAACAATAATTGGCGGGAAGCTCCATTCATTATCCAAAAGCTTAGGCTCGTTTGTTATAGCAACAAAGGTACGCGTCCTGAGGTTCTTCAGCAGCACTGTTTTCCTTGTGCTCCCTCGACTCTTCCCGCTAACTCATGTCGCCTTCGAGGATCAAGATTTCACTATAAATAGCTCATTATGAGCCCATGCTAGCAATTTGCTAGCAGACAATTACTGTTATTCACAGATCAGAGACTTACAGATCAGTACACTACCTCTACTGGAAACACCATGGTGACACAACCCTTCTGGGACCTTGGCGAAGAACGGGAGGTCGTGGTTGTCCCCGAAAATCCGAGGCCAATAATGGACACCCAGGATCTGATCCCCGAGGACGAGATGGATGCAATCCATGGCCGGCTCAACGAGCGGGGCGATGCTGTGCATGAAGCGCCGGATGGGACCCCCGTGGCTGTGAAGATCTACCTGCCGGCCATAATCGTGGTATTTTTTGGGCCCCAGCCCTCACCGCACGTCGCTGCCGTGATAAAGCTACTAGAGACCCGCGCCGTCGTCTTTCGCGCGGAGAGCATCGACAACCTGGTGGCGCTGGTCGAGGCCGCCAGGGACAATATCCACGGGATAATCCTGGCCGACCCACAGCTCATGACGACCTACGGCGACGCTTGGAAGACCATCAAGGAGCTCGCCAGCACCCGCAAGTACGGGTGGCCGTTCATCCTCGCCGGCAGCGCGATTTGGGGCGCCGCGCGCTACCCCCTCAACTGCGCCGGCTATATCCGCGACGCGTTCGGGGTGCGCTGGCGGGTGAACCGCCAGACTCCCACCGCCAGAGCGGAGCGCAAGCAAGTTCTGATCCGAGGACGTCCGGGGGAGACCGCTGAGCACGCCGCGGTGTGGCTGACCGATATACCCAAGGCCGATCAGATTGCCATCGGGGCCATGAGCCCGAATGACCCCCAGGTGAACTCGTACTTGCTCACACCGACGTACACCGCGACCTCGGTGATGCTGCACTCGGAGAAAAAGAGGGAGAGTGAAATGCCCGTGCCCCTGGTCGGCTGGATCGGCATCGTCAACAACCCCGAGGAGGAGGCCAAATGGATTCTGCGGCTGTGTCAGCTGGAGTACGGGTTCACGACCAGTCCTCCGCGCCGCTGGCCCGACTATACCGTTTCCTTCGAGCCAAGTGATGATATCGTGCCGGTGGAGTCGTCCAATGCGGAGACCGAAGCCTAGCAAGGATTTTCACTGATCACTGTCGATTGGTTTGTCGCTGGGAAGTCAGTGACTAGATTTAGAGAGTTTGATAGAAGTCTCAGACCATTAACCTTTTTTAACATTCCTGCCGCATCCTTCCTTTCCTTTTTGACCCTCCCCTCTTTTCATACCCGACTCGCAGCCATCCAGCTTCATACCTTCCCATCTCCGTTCGATAGAAGCGAAGGCCGAACACAAAGCTTTCCAAGTCAAGCACAATCCACCGAAAGGTTGGTTGTTCAAAATGGTTGTTCCGTCCCTCAGTCAGCTAACTCATAGGTGAGGAGAGTGCTGCAGTATTTTCCCAATTTCATGTCCCAACGTCTGGAAGAGGTAGGGGACAAGAGTTGCACCAGCTGGCCCCAATGCCAGCAAAGCTTGCAAAGAACCATGAGACATCCAATGAACAGCCAAAAGCCTGCAGGATCGTAGTAATCCGATGCACTCGTCCGAAGCGGAAAGAATCAGGTTCATAGGAGAGCACACAGATATGAACAGGAGGCTGCACAAGGGATGGGGTCATATATTGTACTTCAAGCATGTCATTTGTAGTTGACCGAGTCCTTGAAAAGCGGGGGATGCGGATGAATGATTGAGATCAGGCTACGCGAGGGTATCGACATGACCCTGGCGGCGAGCGGGCGGTGAACACTGCTGCCTGGCCATTGAGGCCAACCATAACTTCAGCCTGGAGGTAGACAGGTTCTAAGTTGGCTGATTGGTAAGGTAGCACTGTGCTTGATTAGCTTGTTCTGTTTTCCAGTAGGCCTAGACTCGCTGGAAAATCTACTACTTCGCAGTTCTGGTCGAACAAGAACGAGTCATCTCTTCCTTGAAAACACACGAATACCGCAACTGTTGCTTCACGCGGAGCATGATATCTCGCTTGCCGGTTCAATAACCTCAGGAATTCTCTGGAATGCATGGATTCATGAAAGCATGTGCAGGTACTGACTGTACTGTACAGTAACTACAGTTTGTCCTCTGCGATAGCCTTGCATGACTGGGCCCAATCGACAGCGATCGTGAGCTTACTTACGGCTTCCGGAAAATGGGCAGTAACACGCGACTCGCGGCGCCAGAGAATTAATACTGCATAGAGGTGAGGCCGCATTGGTCTAGAATACAGAAGGGGGAGGCACATAGTGCCAGGTCAAATGTAAAGTGTTCCATGCCTAGGGCTTCCGTCCGTGGACGCAGTCTCATGACTATGGCACAATAGGCAACACCTCACCATAGCCTTTCTCGTGGCTTTTACTTAATATGTAGTCTGGATTGCGTCGACTGAACGTCCCGTCCCCCCTTGGCCACAAGCTGATGGTCGAGGCGTGGCAACGGATTGATACGCTCATCGTTAGCTGTTCGTCTCCAGATGGCTGATCTTGTCGCTGCACTCGGATCCATCCATCAGCCAGCAGGTCCCTTTTCCCTCTAAAAAAAAGCGGGATTCTGGTGTGCATGCCGATACTTGCTTGCCATTGGCCCACCTAGTGTGACTTATACCTCTCACGAAGTACCCCACTGCATTGCTTAGCCATGAGCCAAGGTTCCATCTAGTGAGCGGTTGGTTCCTGGAAAAAAATCGAATATTGCCGGCAGGGCAGCGTAGGCCGGCAGTCATCAACCCTATGGAAGCCTGTTCTCGCCACCGAGTCACCCTTGTAAACCTCTGATTGGATGTTGAGACCGACTGCAAGCAGTGAGATTTTAGGCTCCAAACGGGGCAGGCAGGACGTGTGGAACTTTATGATGGGAGTGGGCCAGATCTTGTTATCCACAACGACCCCGTTGTTGAAGATCTGGCCCGCCGCCCGGATGGTGGTGAAATGCGCATGCGACTTGATTCTGATCTTGGAACGGGCCCTTCGACTTCATGGCCCGGATACCACAGCCGATGAAATCGAGAGGGCCCAAGACGAGTACGCCTCCGGTCATGGTACCGACCAGCAGTCGCAGAACCATGCAGCAGTGGTAGCCAGAATCCCACCGCGAGACTGGGTGCATCTGGCAATCAACGAAACATTCCCCCTGCAAAAGAAGTTCTTTCGGAAACTGGGCATCACAAAAGCAGAGAGCCTAATTGCGAACATTATCCGAAATCATCGAATCGGGGCTCCGAGACGACAAGGTCACAGTCGGAAGGCGTCGTCCGCCCCCCCACAAGCCACGCTGTTACCTTGGCAGGGTGTCACCCCGAGCTCGGAGGATTTAGAGGTAATTCAAGACGAGCTTTTTCAACCTGACCAGTCGTCTCCGGAAGATTGCCAGGACGAGTTTGATGCAATGTCGCAAGCTCTGGATGCAATGCGTCAAGACCCGACTAGTGACGAGGATGGTACGGATGGGGACTTGGATAAAGAACCAGCTACTCCGCCATCCGGCCTTGAGGATGAAGACAGTGATACTAACACCATCCCCGACTCTCTCGCTGCCGATTCTGAAGTGAGTAGAGTGCCTTCTGAGGACGCGGACTCATGGTCTGGTGGGGTGTCAGCAGAGTCTTTGCAAGCAAGTAACCTCACCCCCGATGATGACCAGGGTCTAGAGGTCGAAGACGATTCCGGATGGGCGGACGGACTGTTTTCGGGTTTTGGTTAATCTCCATCTGGGCTTCTTCTGCTTTTCCTTTCGGTAGTGAAGCTCATTATGTGGAAGGTTTGATGGGACGAGGAAGAAAGTAAGAGGCTGATTCTTCGTGTTCCGAAACAGAAGGCGCAGCCCAGAGCCTGAGCCTGGAGCCCTCGTCTTTGACTCATGCCCCGAAGTGTTTTAGGAAATGTTAAATTGCCTATAAAATGCATCAAATCAGAGAATAGCACATCGCGGATTACTCGGATACAAACGTGCAGGGAAACAGTAGATAATCTGATCAGACACATTCAGAGCTTGTAGTTACCAACCGCAAGTACCAGTATATATGCCTGTCAATGTGTTAGGCAGAAATGTGAATTAAGAGCAAGAGTCCGAGTGTGCATTATGAGGAACCATGATGAGGTTATCAGGTGTTGATGATCCAATATTCCCCCTGTTCAGATCCTCGCTACAAATACCGCATGGACTCTCTTTACTAGGTATTTGAAACCTTAAGTAACTTGATCAATATCATACCATTTGATCCTGAGCCAGACGTCTAATCAGTCTTGGTAACACCTGTGAGAGAGTTGGAAGATGGATAAATCCCGACTACATCAGGCTATCTGCGGAACTAGGCAAGGCCGCTGTTGTCGTTGCTGTCCACAGATGTTTGACTTAGCATATCTCTCTCGAATCTCAGTGGTTGCAGCATCTGAGGATCAATGCTTTTGCCATCTGCGCAGTATCTGTCCTGAGTGTATAAGTAGACCCCTCTCCTAGCAAATGTCTATAAGAAACCGGCTAAGAACTCGACGGTGTCATCTGTATCTCGCTGTCAATGGGATTCCGGCTCCATCATCAAAGCCTCTCCCGCGTCAGGCGATCCTGAGCAAGCCACGTGCCGAAGGACAACTCATACTTCGAGCACAGATGTTGTAACCGGCCGTTTCTCTGGAGAGAATCTGCTCGACAGTACAAGGGATTGCAAAATCCCACGCAATGAGATGCATTCCCCTAAAGAAGGGATCTCCGAAAGCCCTCCTTATCAAAGAAGGTTTGCGGCCCCTTCCTCTGTAAGGTGACAATCGGAATGACCTCTGTTCTTGTAGTAGTCGACTCTGCTGGCTTTAATTCATCATGAGTACTGATATTTAGAAGCCAGGATCATTGTGCAATGAACCTTCCCCCCTCCGCCTTGCAGCTCCAAACTTGTAATAGAAACCTGGACCCCTTTGATAGTACATCACACTGACAACGGGCAAAAGCAACTATTGAGACTTCCAGGCGGGTCACTACTAGATCCGCAACAGCCACAGCGTGTGAGACCTTTCTTGGCTGGGACTGTAAACCGCAGCAATGGAAAGCTTGGGAACGGGTCAATCAAGGACAGACACAAAAGCGAAACCTGGTGAGAAACCCCAATAAGGGTAGCATCCATGGCGCGATGCCCTGTCAAACGACGGGGTACTTATCTGCCGTCTCTCATACCATATAGAATTAACGGGTAAGAGCCAAGCAGACTGAAGATACCCGGCAGGTCACAAGCTCACTTCTAGCCAGGCTTGGTGCCGCAACCACAGCGACCGAGCACTGCGTAGAGTCGAACAGATACTCTTTTTAGGAGACAGACTCGCAACGAGTGAAGTGGCTTTGATGGCTATCTTAGGTCCATTTGTCTCCGTAGATTGATTATCCAGATATCAAGTGGAATCAAGATAGCTTCTGCTTGGATGCGCAAAGAGAGAAGGAGAAATGTAGTGGTAGTAGCAGTAATGCTATGGATTGTGGCCTTTGAACTGCGGCGACGGGTTCGTTATTTGTGGTCCGTTGTGGCAGGCGTGTTTGGAGAGAGATTAGATGCAGAGATCGCTTTGTATCATTCTCTGCTATCCGACAACACGTATCCGATATTCTGATAACATTTCTTATAGACGAGTATCTTCTGAGTAACAGCCGTTCAGCTCTGGGCTTTGGTATAATGTAAAGAGGAGTTGTTTCCGTTGAAGCTCGCAGTGAGGTTGTTGGACCAGATGCTATGGATGTGGATGGAACGGAAGAGTGTAGGATGGTTATAAAGAAGGAGATGTGGGGAAAGGTGAAGACAAATTGTATAGTGAATCATATACTGCCGGCATGATTCAAGTAGCCTTTTGGCACCAGTTACTGAGATGGGAATTCACATTTCTTCCTGGCCTTAAGATATTCACTAGAATCCGAGTGTTCGCCCTGTCGCGAGTCACTTGTTTGTGGCCATGTAATAGAGACTGGGTTGGGGTCATACCATTGAAGTACTATATAGCTATGCTAGATCATCTTCAATGATATACCGTATGCATACTTCACTTAAGACAGTACAGAATAGACAACTCTGTCACTCCTCTTCTCATAGCAACCGTCTAGCTATATATAAACACTCATAGGGCTATAGTGGCATCATACATTCTGTGCTTACCTCAATATCTGCAAAATCGTTCATCTCTATATATGCCAACACCAAAATCTAACAATCAAGAATTCAATATCTAAGCAGTCTTTCTGTACAAGTGCAAAGGACACATCGAAATCAGTCATAAATCGTCACACATTACCAACTGAACGACTCCTCAACATAGCGGATCCCCCGATACCCCCGCTGTAAAGCCAAGCACACCGCAGCCCGAGTCTGATCTGCCAAGGCTGTCGGACCGCACACCAACACCGCCACAGACGACTCGCTAAGTTGCGCTGCATGCGCATGCGCTAAGACAAGGCTTTCCACGTTCGGTCGTCCCTGTGCCACCTCTAGCTCATCCATGGATTCCAACCGATCCGGGTCGTGTGGAGCTTGCTTGGCAGTGGCATAGAACGATGCTCGGAAGTCATCGCGCGTCAAGGCCGGTGCTAACTCGCGGGCGGCAAGCTTTCGGATAAGCGCGGCCTGTCGCGCGACCCAGACGAGCTGTATGTCTCGAATCTGGGTAGATGCTTGGTCGGGGTCTTCTGATGTACGTAAGAGGTGCCCATGGATGTAGGGGATTATCGCGGCGATGCCTGTTCCGCCGGCTATTAGGAGCACGGATTCATAGTTCCAGAGCGGGAATCGGTCGCCGTAGGGGCCTTCCAGAAAGATGGTGCTGTCTATGGTTTGGGTCGGGCATCGGATGCATTGGTCGCGGAGTTTGCGGGTCCATCCGTCGTAGGGTCGGATCCAGAAGACAAGTCTCAAGCCGCTAGGGGCGTCACGTTTGAGTTGGATTGCCTCTGCCGATGTGAACTCGGAGGAGGAATCGGAGAGGAGGGGAACCTGGGTCACGTCGATCGTATGGTCGCCCTTGGTTAGTGGTGGGGTGGGGGATGCATCTTTGTAGTCGGCTTCGTAGTACCAGTGACCCAGGGTGAAGGGGTGGCTTTCCCATCCTGTCAGTCGGAACGGTTGGTAGAGATAATAATACTGTCCTGGCGTAGGGCAGAGAAGCTTCGAGCCGGGGGTAACCTCGAGCCGGATCACGTCTGCCGACGCATCATAGCTGGCAAAGCTCTTACTGTACTGTATACTGTTTCCGGCATTGACTCGCACGTGGATGTTGCAGTAGAGGAGGCGGATCAGACGGAGTGCCCGGTCCACGCCCCAAATAGCCACCGCCGACCACAGGTAGGTCCAGTATTCGTGGTCGGAGAAGATTATGGTGTGACTGATACGAGAACGCGGTTAGTAGAGAGAATACAAATTGATGGTAGGGTACGCACTAGAAACATCCAACTAGAAGCCCAATGGAGAATATAATATGTATAATGAGGAATAGTTCATAGGATCGGTGCCGAAACCACTGGATGGCTAATGGTAGGAGCAGAACCATAAGGATTGTTGCCTGTGTGAAGATCAGTGGGTGTGGATATCCCTATAAAGTGTCAAGACTCACCCCTGTTCCCCATAACAGATATGGTTTCGTCAGCTTTTTAAGCAGTCTGCCCTCTGTAAGTATCGTCAGCTATCTCCCAGCAGTATCACGAGGGAAACAACTTACTCTCGTACATAATGAAGAGGTAAAGAAAAGTATGAGCAACAGCCTGAATGGTTGCTATCCAGGCCACGTGGCGGTGGAACAGATTGAAAGTGGCAAAGCTCCATCCTGTTGCCCAGATGAAGATGTTGTTGCGGCCCGCAAAGAGCCAGAGTAATGGAATGTTGGCAAAGGATACAATCCCAGTTCTGTCCGCTGCGTATCGGAGGAGCTGCGATTGTTTATCGGGCCAGCTGAGATGAGCGGTTAGCTAAAGCTCCGCTGTCTCTGTCGAAAGACTTACTAGATATTATCCGGGATGAGCCGATAGCTCACGGTACACACAGCGATGCTCAGGGCCCAGAAGATAAGCACAACTATAGCGTCTAGGCGTGTGGGAAAGGTCCACCAGAGCAATTTGCGGCTCTGGGGTTGTAGAGGATGAGGAACCACCAGATACACCTGTATCCAGTGGCGGAGGTTCTGTATGGGCAAGCATAGTCGGCGTAGTCCTGAGCTAGACCTATAGCTGGTTTGCACCACCTGAGATTGAATAATGTGATGTACGAGCCGCTGAAGCATGCCCAAGCTGAGTATGCATAACCAGAATCCGTACCCAGCCAATCTGCTGATGTTAGGAGAAGCTCAGTTGAAGGGAAAGTCCAATCGTACCCATAAGCGTAATGAGTCCATACTTCAAACTCCCAAGTATCCTGTCAGAACGTTGGTCAGAATGCATTTGACACAATCAGGAGACAACGCACAATAGTGTTAAAGACAATGTCATAATGACTGGGTGCGAGCAAAACCGGCGTGTTGACAGGGTGCTTTCTCGGTATCTCCAGATATTTGACAACTGGCATGCGACGAAGAGCATCTCGGGTGAGGTTCTCGGCCAGCTGCTCTCGCGGTGTCAGGTCCACATCCCCGTACTCTCGGCATGACCTCTCCAGTTGTGCAATTCCTGCTTCTCTCTCCGCTGGGCGGCAATATATGTCCGAAGAGGCGTAGATGGAGGTGACCTCTAGCGGGTTGTGACACCGGGTCTCCCAAAAACCCACGTCGGGTTGCGCGGCGAAGGTAATGTATCCATAGGCGGTGTATATCGCAGTTACGCAGCGTTCGTTTTTGGGGAGGGAGCTGGAGGCGACGAGCGAGGTATTATAGACAATGAAGAGGATCAGCCCACTGAGTGCTAACATGACTGGAAGGAGGGGTAATGAGGAAGAACGAGAGAGAGAGGGGTCTTAAGGGTGGTTGTGGGTCATGCCAGGTGAGGTGACTTTCGCACGAGATCCTCTCTGCGCCCGGCCATTCGACCTTCCGAGACCCGCTGTGAGTGAAAACCGGCTCGCTAGAAAGTGGCAGGGAAAATGCGGTGAGTTCTTGGAAGTTGATTGAGGGAGCGATGCCAGCCTGCGCGAATTCTCATAGACCAGAGATCATGCTGAAGCGAAATGCCAGTACCCAAGTGGATTCAGGCTGGAAGACTAGGAGTAGGCGGTATTTGTGTGAGTGAGTGAGTGGAATGGGCGATGGGGACCGACTTCGGATTTATCTAATCTGATCGGGCCATCGGACCATCTGATAGCCTGCCAGTTTTTGATTGGGCACGAGCCCCTCGGCGCTGCGAGCTTCCGTCCGCACTGTCAGCCTTAGTGCCTCAGGCTACACCTCACAATCTGCCGGGCGGTGAATACTTCATGACGGCGCTCCTCCGACTTTCCCCGAAGAGGGATTCCTTCTACTCCGCACTGCTCGCAATACAATCAATTTCCTCGTATTACATGGAATACATTGATCGGCACCAATGATTACTCTCTACTTCACGAAGTGGTAATTTTCTATGAATCCTTCACTGCGGGGAAGTCCATCAACAACGATGCCTCCCTTCCCTCATAATGAATCTGTGCCAAGTGCTCGACTCCTCCTCGTTGATCCCCCTTGCTCGGGGTCGCGTCTGGAATGAAAACACGGGGATAAGTGCATGATCGAGGACAGACGATGGCCAGGACTACATCATGTCTCTTTCCGACACCCTCAGCTTGGTATTCAATCTACTTATTGCAGCCTTGGTCGCCATCGTATGCTTCCCCGCTCTGAGGGATACTCTTCACTATGCTTCTAAAGGATGTTCGCCAAACGCGCTGCTCGACGGATACCAGAGAGTAGGAGCCTCTCACAATGCTTCGATAGGTCTTTTAGGGGTCTTTCGCGATGACCCTCGACCGTATCTATTGCTCACCGCAAATGCATGCGTCTGCGCTGCTTCGCTCGTGCGAGCCATATCCGCCGCCAATGCCTTTGATAAAGTGACGTCTTCGGTACAACTCGTCTCATGGGTAAGAATTACAACTACCCTTCGTGTTGTTCCATGCTAAGTTAGTGTATCCTAGCTCTTGCTCTCCATACAATGGAATTATCTCCGAAGCGAAGCCTCTCTCCAAATCCGGTACTCTGCGGCTTGGAAGGGAGGACTGGCTGCTTGCTTGTTAATTGGGCATATGATTCTAGAGAACACACTTCGGAGAGACATGGTAGATCAAACACCTGCTGCATCGCCTCTCGCGTGGCTGGTCTACATATTGGGGACTATTGTAGTTCTCACATCCTTGTCTTATCCGCGCAATGCTCGAGCGTTCCGCAATGGAAGACCAATTGACGAGGAGGAAATCTCCTCTGTGCTTGGGCGATTCTCATTTCAGTGGGCGACATCGCTAGTGTCACTCTGTGCGTCGCATACATCAATCAGCCTGGATGAGCTTCCCGAATTGAGCGATAGAATGCGAGCAAATCACTTGCAGACTGACTTCATGGAAATGCAGGCTAGACTTGACGCTTCTGGAACGACCCCATCCAAGCTAGTGAAGGGGCTGCTATCACTGTATTGGAGGGAGTTGGTCCATCAACTCCTGCTATCCGTGCCACTGGCAGTTCTAGCCTTTGCTCCACAGCTAGCACTACGTGAAATGTTACGAGTCCTGGATGCAGACGCAGCGGGACACGATGGTCTCAATATCTGGGCCCTGCTACTTGGCCTCAGCATTGGGGTATCCTCGTGGCTCGAGAACTGGCTCCTATGGACCGCCATGAATTGGATATCAGTGCCATTGACGACGCAGCTATCTACAGCGGCTTTCAGCAAGTCCATGCGCTTGAGTTTGCAGACTTCCGCTGATGAGGGCGATGATAAGACTTCACCGGATAGTACCCAGAATGTGATCAACCTGGTAGCCATCGATGCGTCACGCATTGCTCTTGTCGCGGGCTTTCTCTATTCGAACCTTCTCCAGGCACTAAAGCTCGCCGTGGCGTGTACGTTCCTGGCTCACCTTCTGGGTTGGCGAAGCTTGCTGGCGGGACTGACCTGCCTTGCCCTCTTCTATCCACTTCATTCTCTCTGCTTGTCGAAATACTCGGCTGTCGAGAAAGACCTCATGCGTAGTCGCGACAACAAGGTGTCGACTCTGACCGAGGTCTTGCAGGGTATTCGCCAAGTGAAGTTCGCAGGGCTCGAGGTCAAATGGGAACGCAGGATGAACTTTCTTCGCGACCGTGAAGTAGAAGCTCAGAAGAGAGCATTCTTCTGGCATGTAATTAACCTCTCGATCCACCTGCTCGGGCCAGTCATGGTGTCCGCCGTCTCCTTGAGCGTCTATAGCTGGAAGCAAGGCCCACTCACGCCATCCGTCGCTTTCCCAGCTTTGTCCACACTCGGGTACATTCAATTCATTCTGGGCCTCGTTCCTGAATTACTTTCCGGTCTCGTGGGCGCGAAGGTGAGCATTGGGCGTATGGCGAGATTCTTCAACTCGGCGCAAGCGGCGGGGGACACCACGCCTTTCCGCTCGATACAATTGGAGAATGCCACTCTATCTTACAGTAAATCAGCTACAACGGAATCCGGCACCCTTCAAAGCGTGACCCTCAGCTTTCCTCTGAAGGGCTTGAGCGTGGTGTTCGGCCGCACTGGATCCGGCAAAACCTTGCTACTTAGCGCCATTCTAGGCGAGTGCGAGGTCTTGTCTGGCTCCATACGACGTCCTGTTCCCCCGACCTATGAGGCAATATACCACTCAGAACCTAATCCGAAGGACTGGTGTCTCAGCTCAGCAGTGGGCTACGTAGCTCAAACCCCATGGATAGAAGCTGGCACCATTCGGGATAACATCCTCTTCGGCCTACCCTATCAGCAGGCGAGGTATCAACGTGTGCTGTTTGCATGCGCTCTCATGCAGGATCTGGACCTGTTGGACGATCGGGATCTTACTGAAATCGGGCCCAGTGGAGTTAATCTAAGCGGCGGGCAAAAGGTGCGCATTGGTCTAGCGCGCGCTCTGTATTCGCGGGCCGGCATTCTGCTGCTAGATGACATCTTCAGTGCCGTGGATGTGCACACCGCAAGTCATCTCTTCAAGCATGCCATCACCGGGGAGTTTGGCGAGGGACGAACAAGAATCTTGGTCACACACAATGTGGACCTTTGCTCTCCCAAGGCTGACTATCTGGTCGAACTTGAGAATGGGACCGTCAAATATGCACACTCGGTGGTTCGATCACACTCTGAAAGAGACAACAGTTTCTCGCCACAGGGAGCTGTGCCCATAACCGAGGAACAATACGAAAAGTTCGATGACAAGACTGATAGCCAAGATGGTGGGGTCGATGGCATTGGCAGTGCTACCGTACCGACAAGATTTGTCGATGAGGAGTGTCGAGCCGAAGGTGCTCTCCAGTGGTGGCTGTTTCGGAGGTACATCCAGACGAGCGGAGGATGGGCATCGTGGGCTGTTCTCGTCGCGTTTTACGTGATGTACAACATGTTACAGCTGTCTCAGGTATGTGTCGGGTTCTCATGCCACCCACTAAATTAACCTCGTCATCAGTACTGGTGGATTCAGATCTGGAGCAGGGATGGCATCACCAAAGACACCGGCTCAGGTGGCAACGATACGGCATACTACCTGGGCATCTACACCGCGATCGCCATCCTGTCATGTCTCGCCGGCTCACTGCGCGCCTACATTGCTCTCCGAACCTCGCTGAACGCGGCATCTCGCCTCTTCCGCCAACTACTCTCCGTGGTCCTGCGCGCCCCCTTGCTCTGGCTCGACAAGGTCCCCTCAGGAAGACTCCTCAACCGCTTCACCGCCGACTTCTACCTCGTAGACTCACGCCTGGGCTTCGACCTGACCGCCGTCCTAAACGCAGGCATGGACTGCATCGGCGTGATCACCGGCGGAGTGCTCGTGCGGCCGATCCTCCTCATCTTCGCCGTGCTCCTCGCCGCCGCAGCAACGTGGTACACGAAGCGGTACCTCTCGGCCGCGCGGGAGATCAAACGCCTGGAGAGCATCTCACGCAGCCCGGTCTACGAGCAGATCGCCACCTGCCTGCAAGGAATCACCACCATCCGGGCCTTCAACCAGCGAAAGCGGTACATCGCAGCGCTGCACAACAAACTGGACCGCCAAGCCCAAGCCTCGTGGCACCTCTACCTCTTCAACCGCTGGTTCACCTTCCGGATCAACCTACTGGGCGCGGTGTTTTCGATCATGACCGCCCTGGCCGTCGTCAACCGCGCGGACATCACCGGCGCGATGGCCGGCTTCGCGCTCGTCTTCACCAACCACCTCTCCTTCGCCCTGGTCTCGCTCAGCCGTGCCTACTCGACCCTAGAAATGGACCTCAACGCCGTCGAGCGCATCCTCGAGTACTCCGACCTTCCCACCGAGGAGCCACCCTCCCCCAGCCCGAGAAACATCCCTCCCCCCGAATGGCCCCAAACCGGAACCATAACCATAACGAACCTAACAGCCTCCTACACCCCAACCACCCCACCCGTCCTCCACAACATAAACCTGCACATCCCCTCCGGCCAACGAATCGGGATCGTCGGCCGCACCGGCGCCGGCAAATCCAGCCTCGCGCTGGCCCTCTTCCGCTTCCTGTACCCCTCCCCCTCCCCATCCCTCGCCAGCACCAGCAGCGCGAGCAACGCAAGCAACGGCCGCATCACCATCTCCAACGTCGACATCGCCACCATCCCACTAGCCACCCTCCGCTCCCGCATGGCCATGATCCCGCAGAACCCCGTGCTTTTCACCGGCACGATCCGCTCGAACCTCGATCCGTTCGACGAGCACACCGACGACGCCGTGCTGCGCGCGTTGCAGCACGTCCGTTGGTCTTCCTCCTCATCGTCGACCTGTTTGCATCCGCAGGGCAATCCGCAGGGCTGTCCGCGAGACAGGAGCAATGTACTGGGGGAGAGGGTATCGCCCGGGGGAACGAACTTCTCGCACGGCCAGCGGCAGCTCCTGTGTCTGGCGCGTGCGATGCTGGCTTGTCCGGCGGTGGTGGTTATGGACGAGGCTACTTCGGCTGTGGATCGGGGGACGGATGAGATGATTCAGCGGGGGATTCGGGAGGGGGTTCTGGGTAGTCGGCAGATCAGTAGTAGCAGTGGCGGGAGGACAGGCAGTGGGAGCAGTGGCAGCCGGACAACGTTGCTGGTGATTGCGCATCGGCTACGCACGATCGCCGACTTTGATAGGGTGGTTGTTATGGATGCGGGGCGGGTGGTGGAGTTTGGCACGCCGAGGGAGTTGTTGGCGAGGGAGGGGGGTGTGTTTCGCGGGTTGGTGGAGGGGGATGTTGATGCGAGGGAGTTGAGGAGGGTTATCACTGGAGCTGAGAGTTAGGGAATGTGTCTGGTGTGAGTGCTGTTGGTGATAAGGGTGGATTTGATGTCGGTTTTCACTACGTCATTGTAGACACGCATTAGATAGAAACAATTCATTCGGGGTTATATCTTTCAGAACTTCTCCTAGAACCACATCCAACGTAGCACCACTACACGCTCAACGTCAACGCCCCCGTAAGCGGCAGATCCCGACTCGACCTCCCCACATACACCTGGTACTCGCCCGTCTGCAGCTCCCACGCCTGCGCCTCGACATTCCACGTACTCAGGTCGCGCCGCGTCAGAGAGAACGAGACAGCAACCGTCTCGCCCACAGGGACATTGACCTTGTCAAACCCACGCAGCTGCCGAACCGGCCCATTGGGGATCCCCACGTACAGCTGCGCGACCTCCGCCCCGTCCACATTCCCGGAGTTCTGCACCTGCGCCGTGACGTTGGCGAGCACATCCCACAGACGCGGGTTGCCTCCTTCCTGAATTCCGGCTGATGGTGGGTACTGTGTCGCCGCGACAGATGTCCTCTGGATGTCCAGCCCGGAATAATTGAAGGTGGTATACGAGAGGCCGAAACCGAACTCGAACTGCGGGGTGATGTTCTCCTTGTCGAAGGCGCGGTAGTCGATGTAGACGCCTTCGGTGAAGTCGTCCTGTGGGAAGAGGCCGTACGGCGCCACAGGCTGAGCCGGGTGCAAGATCGCCCCGTAGTCGGATGCCTGTTTGGCCACCGTGTAGGGCAGTCGGCCGGAGGGGTTAGCACGGCCGTACAGCAAGTCGACGACAGCCGTGCCCGTGTCTTGACCAGGAAGGTGGGCAAGAATCACGGCGGTGACGTTGGCGTGGTCGATCCAATCGTAAACGAGGCGTATACCCGCGTTGTGGATCACAACAATCGTGTTGTTGCATTTGTTGGCGACATTGGTCACGAGCGTGTCGCTGTCCGCGTCAACGAGACCGGGTCGGTCGCCGCCTTCGGACGCGTAGCTGTTGATGAAGACCAGGCAGGCGGAGGAGGCGGGATCGACGTCCGGGTCATTGGAGCTCACGTCCCACAGGACAGCGGTGTTGTCTTCATAGGCTTGTTGTTGAATAGCGTCAAGAGGCGCGATGATATAGGCTGGGCTGTTGGAGCCGGAGCCGCCTCCAACCCACAGGGTGTAGTTCTGGATGGCCGGCATGACACTGTCGAATGAAAGGGTTAAGCTAGCGGACTCGGGGGCTTTGGCATCGTATCCAAACACGGAGACTAGGCGGGGTGATTGGAGGGGTAGCGCAGAGTTCTCGTTCTTGACAAGAACATGGCCCTCGATTGCGCTCTGGAGTAGAGCGTCTTTCTCGTCGGCAGATGTTCCGATGACAACTTCGTGCTCGGAGTAGACGTCTTCGGGCATGCCGATGCCAGGAGAGGGGAAGTTGGTGTCTTGGTTCATTTGATACCAGGAGGCAATGATTCTGACTGGGTTAGTGAGAAAGCAATTAGTAAAGGTGGCCTGACTTACCTGGTAACCATGTCGTCGAGCCTTGATGCTTCCATACTACCATTGGCAATGGCGGTGGTGAGATTAGAGCCCCACGTGGTGGTACTTGGCATGACCATGTCCAGCCCGGCATTCGCACCAGCAATCCCGGCGTGTTGGGCACCCCAGTCAGTGACAACGTAGCCTTCTGCGTATTAGTATCGGTGTCCAGTAGTGGTAATCTAAGTTTCTTACCTTGGAAACCTAGTTCGGTCTTCAATAGCCCGTTGAGCGTCTTGCTGTTCTGACAGGCATAGGAGTTGTTAACCCGGTTATACGAGCACATGACTGAGACACTGCCCGCCAGCACGGCATCTTGGAAGGGCCAGAGGTAGAGTTCATGGATGGTCTTATCATCGATATTCGAGGAAACCGAGGCAACAGTGACTCCATTCTCTGTCTCGGGATTTCTGTTGGTCTCTTGCTCGTTTCCGATGTAGTGCTTTGAGTGTGTCAATCAGTATCACTCGCGGTGAGATAAAGCAGTAAGGAGAGTATACACACCTTCACAGAGACACCAACACCGGCCTCCTGCACACCTTGGACTGTCTCATACACCAGCGCCCCGCTGAGATAGGGATCAGTGGAGAAGCCTTCCCAGTTCCGTCCGCCTTCCGCGACACGACCGATGGGGCCCACCACAGGGCCCAGCAGAAGGTTAACACCCTTTCGATGAAACTCTTGTCCCATGTACAGAGCCCGTTGATGAGCAAGAGTTTTGTTCCAGCTAGAAGCGAGGAATTGGCAAGGAATTCAACAAATTCGAAGACTGCTGTAGCATGCGTACCTTGCTCCAACATGAATGCCACTGGCCCAGCCATTCACGAAGTCCGTTCCGCGCTGTATATGGCTTTTAGAAACGACAACTCCAATCTTATATGGGTCCACATACCAGCCCATTCCCCGCATCCGACACACAATAGCCAGGAAAGCCTAGGCGGGAGACTGCTGGAATATTGCCTGAGCACCCATTGCTGGCACTGTAGCCTGCCGTGAAGTTGACCTTCTCCTCGTCTGTGAGCTGGGCGACAAAACTCTTTGCTTTCTCGTAGGCTGCAGCCCATGCACCGGTACCGGTACCCTCGGCTGAATGGTCTACGTAAGCAGTGAATGACAAATGAGAAGATCATGAGAAAACATACGGGAGGGGTAGAATGGGGGAGAATCGCCGTAGAAGTAGGTATCGCTGGTGATATTCTGCTCAGTTGGTGCGGCGGAGCAAAGAGAAAGACCGCCCAAGAGGGCGATCAAGGATCCTAAGCTGTGCATTCTGCTGCCTCTGTGTTGCCTGCGCTGCCTGTCTCTACACTCTATCTCCCAGCGACTTCATGGTGGTATTTATCTCCAAGCCGGACTTCCCCCGCAAGGTGAACAGATGGAAAAGCATTTTTCAGGACCCAAGCAACTCCGGATGTCCCGCACCCATTCCCTGACTTGCGGGTAAATATCGGCGAATAAACCTGAACTCTACATGATCATGACGGTCATGCGCAGGCTCTAGCAGAGGTCAATACTGTGGGTGAGTGAGGAGTAGATACTTAGGTAGATGGCTATGGGGTGAGTGCCGGCTCACGAGTCAGTCACCGGATATTGACCCCCACATGCCGTTCCTCAGCAATCCGGGGTTGTCCCACTAGCCCCACAATGACCGGGATAGCAGGCTAGACAACCAGTCCGGAGGAAGTCCGCGCAATAGGAACAGCGAGAGAACCATGCGTGACGTGATGCAACCCCGCATTTATTCCCCAGAACTCTGGACGTGATTAATGCAGGGCATTGACCCCTGCTGGTCGGGGTTTGTGGCAGTATGTGCACAACAAAACACAAGGATAGCCGGCATTTGTGTTCCCCGATTGTTGTATCCTAACCTTTGTAGACTGGTTGAGCACTCCAGGAACAAAGTGCTGACAAGCAACAAGTGACAGACCTTGGCTGTTCTCTTGGTCAAATGAATGAAGCATCATGCCATCCGCACGGACTTGGCTGGCTGAAGCTTGTTGGCAACTTGGGTAGACTTGGGGTTCGGGGCATGGTCCACCGAAAGTAATCCTTCCCTAGCTCAGTCTTCGGCCAGAGAAGTCGGCAAGTAGAAGAGGGGGTGCCCATTTGTGACTGGGGAAGATGTCGTGTCCAGGAAACTCGAGCCTAACTGGTTGTATTGGGCCGTGTGCTTCTCATTGCCAAGGCGGCTAGAGTGAGGTCGGTGAGGAAAACGCATCATGCGGGGTATGTCGCTGCTCTATAATAGCAGGAGTTGAAACACCGCAAAGTAGTAATCCTAGCAAACCTCTGCAAGGTCCAAAAGTAGCATCCAAGCCGACACTCTCCGTCGCCAGAGCCCGCTCAGAATAGATTACTCGGGACACTGTTCAACCACGACATATCCTGAAAGTCCAACAGATCAATGCCATCAAACAAGCCACTATTAAATCCCTCCCCAAGCGACACATCTCCGAAACCATTCGACATGGAAGATCCCGTTTGGACGGCTTGGGCGGGCAGCTCCTGATCCGTTGAACGGCCCTCCGACACAACGCGCTCATACAGTATCTCTAGCGCAGCAACACATCGACGCGCGGAAGTGCTGTAGCTGTGGTATCTGCGAAGGATCTCGAGGGCATGGTCCCAGCTTTCGGTTATGGCGGGCTCAGTGACTTCTTCCAGGATGGCTGGGCAGAGGCGGCCGGCAATTAGAACGGTGGCAGCTGTGTAAACGTCTTTTCCAGTCAGAGTAGAGAACTTGAGAACTCTCTCCAAAGTATCTGCAAAACAAGAAGGAAAATTGGTAAGGGTTCGGATGCTCACAGAGAATGTTATACCACCACGCAGGAAGTGGACCGGCCGATCCGTCGGCGGGAATGTGACCGTGGATCAGGCCAATGACCTCCTGTGCAACTTTGACGCAGATAATAGAGCACTGGAGTGCTATACGCTGAGGGAATGAATCTTGAAGACAAATGAGGGGGTCGGCGACTCCGATGTCGCGGGAGGTACAGTATTTGGACAGAATGGGTCGGAAGAGAAGCATGCGCACATGGAGGAACCTAGCGACTCGAGTTCAACAGATGTCTTTCGCGATCGAAATCGAGAAACCTTACCGTGCTCGTAGTACAACGCTCTGATGGTAGAACATTTTGTCGCCGTAGGCGAGAGAAGCGTCACCTCGCAAGTGCTCTGGTAAGGTTCGTGACCATTTGGTGAGCGCTCGGTCCAATTCGAACATCGTATGACCACCCTCCGTGGTCTGTTTGTTGAAATAAAAATCGTAAACATCTTCCGGGCTTTCATCCGGATTAGGATTGTATAGGCTGAGAAGAATATCATTCAGAATTTCGTAGAGCTCCAAAGACTTGGCATAAAATGCCATCACGGAAGGTCGACCAGCCGGTTGGATTATGTCGGTGCCTGCAGAGGGTATATACTCTTCGTCAACAGTCGCTGGTAGCGGTACGGAGCCACCGGACGCTTTAGCTATCATGGAGGGGCGACCGAAAGTCATGGAAATTACCCTAGAACTCGTCTAGCTTCTGTGAACGGGAAAAGAGGCGGGGCTGTTCTTACCTATCCATCAACACGCATCCGTGCCAGATCTTCCGGGCCAGCTGCTTCTCCTGAGGATTACGTAGACGAGCACTAGTCTGCGGAAGATGTAGTCCCAGACTCTGTGCATTTCGAATGGCCAACCCAGTGACGATCCAGCACTGATGAGCGGAGTCCGTGCTTTGGAGATACTGGGCCATGAGCAGCAAGCACTGAATGAGCTCTGCGGAGCCTGTATTCCACAAATTGAATTGAAGAAGATCTTTGGCGCGAGAGAAAAATGCATCTGCCGACGCCTCCCGCTCTTCGGGTGGAATGAAGTCAGCTAGCTGGCAGGCCAATGCAAAGATCACATTGAAAGTGCACATCAGCATATTCTCGTCCGAGTGAGAAGGCTCTCCAGTCCAGAGCCTTGAGTATTCAGCTCGTAGATTCAGACTATCGATGAGGGGATAGAGAGGAAAGACAAAGGTCCAGTACACCTCCATCAGGCTGTCTGCCGTTTTCCGAGGCGGAAGGACGTAGTTAGGAATTGTAGACGGACGCTGTATGCGCGACTTCAGCCCGGACGAGGATGCCGCTCCGAGGATCGAGTCGGATGTTCCACAATATGGTGACGGGACCCTTTGGTCAATGGCGGTTCTGATTTGTCGGATGAAGCTGGCAGCACTGGAGCTTCCAAAGAAGCCTTGGGCTAGCCGCTCTTCTTCCACCTCGCCCATCATTGCGTTCACGCCATCCGTATGCTGTCTTGGGGTTTGCCGGTTGTCAGGAGTCGTATCCTGGCACACTCTATCCTTGTGCATACAGATCGATGCAGCGTCCGGGGTTTGTTCGCATTGAAGACATGGCGAAAGAGATCTACCCGCGCTATCAGCGACGACTGATGTGGTTGGGAGATGCTGTCGATGACTCGTGGAAGGTGGAGCGACTGCACTCGACGTTGGCGTTTGAAGCGGACTTGGTAATCGAGTCTAAGATTCAGAAGAGTTACTCTGTGAGCCCTTTTATGATAATGTCTTAGGACCCCAGACTCGGAGACGAGATCATTCATGCCAACACGGCTTACCTGCGGAGATCCTGCGCCCAATGATTGAGTACTACCCACCTGTGCCCTCCCGGGGTTTTCGAGAAGCTTTAACCGATTCTCAAGGCCTTTGACATAGCTTTCCAGCTCAATGTCAGCAGATGATGATTCAATTTATGCCTGAGCTACAAGGCAGGATACAAGGCAGGACTGACCTTTGCATAGCTCGCTTCTTGTCTCCAGTGTAAATGCACTTCTCTCGATCTCCTTTCCTTACACATGGTCCACATACTGCACAACACGCGTCAGCTCAACGATTGGTAGGAGTGCAGCTTCGGAGCGAACATACCGGGATGGATGCCGTCACACCGGACCTTCCGGACGCGGCATTCATCGCACGCGACCGTGATCTTGTGACGTTTGTGTGGAGTAGCAGAGAGATCTGCTGAAGACCAGCGCTTCGGAGATGATAGACTAGTCATAGATAGATTAGTAGGAAGGTGTTAGCACATTCGCGTGCTTTGTCTGGGTCTGGCGTGGGGAAAGTTGATGGGAGACGGAAGGGATTCCGGGGAAAGAGGCCACGGGAAAGTGCGGTGCGGGACCTTCGGATCCGATTCCGTGGCTCTCGCCTCGATCGCTCACTTGCGTTGGAACGGCGATTCTACGTGGACGAATGTAAATAGTAGGTAGGTGGTTATATTCAAATATTCCTCTTGCTACCCACTCAGTTTCACTCTGCTTCTATCTTCTACTCGACCCTTCGGTCACTTACTTATAGTAGATGACAACAATTACTTTCCGTAACCAGATTGCCTGGACAGCAGAGTCAGAGATGAGCTTCTCATGCTGTACTTTATTGAAAAAGCCGAGCATAGACATGATCGCATAGCTATCAACCAATTCAAAAACCCTCTTGATAGACTACCTCAGGAGCCTGACAACTTCACTCGACAGCGAGTTCTGTCATACTACTGGCATCATGTCCCCGAGGGCGTTAGCTCGGATGCTATTTCATAGGATTTTGTAAGAATGATAGGCACACTGTTATGCAAGGGTCATAGTTCTGATTGCACGGGACTTCTTACAAGACCGTCGATCTTTCGCAAGCTGTGCGTGCCTTGTGGTCTATTAACCTCCTGTGGTTTGATTCGACGTACCACTCCATCAGCTGTTACTGGTCTGACCGTGTAGCAACAACGTGCACAGCAACAATCGGCAGCATAGCGCATGCTCCAACAATTGCACACATGACCCCAGCCGCACCAGCCAAACCCAATGTCTCGAACATGTCGGGGAAATAGAATGGCCCAATCTAGCCGCAGAGCACTCAAAGTTAGCACGAACCTCAAATTCGACCATGTCTGCGAACTCACAAATCCATAAAGATGGCGAAACACATTGATGCAAACCCCGATATCTGTAGCCACCTCGCGATGGCTATCAATAGCAAAGGAGATCAGGATAGTGGTGATCACCTGGTTACCGAAACTGGCGATTGCCGCACCCACGCATGGAGTCACGTTCCAGGACGTGGCCTTGCTGAGCTGGAACCCCCAGACTAAAAGACCGGCGATGACGGTGCCGAAGCCAACATAGGACAGCCAAAGACGGTCCGCTGGGCGGTGACGACCTGTACGTTTCTGGAGAGCTTGCAAGAAACGGTCGGAAATGGGACCGCTCAGCTGCTCGCCAAGCAGGCAGCCGATGATGATAGCAATGAACTGCAAGCCGATTTGCTGCGAGTCAAAGCCGAATTTCTCCCCAAAGGCAATGGGCATCTCGACAATGAGGGCGATGTTGCCGTAGCAGAAGACTATGGCATGAGCGCAGGCGGGAATGAGGACACGCGGAAGCCGCACGTAGAAGAGCGGCTCGACGAATTCGCGGGCCTTGAGGGGCCGGGCATTAATCCGTCGTGGGATGAATTTCTGGTAGAAGTGGGATCTATAGGGGCCTGCTGCGGAGTTGTGGCTGCTCTCCGGGATGTATAGAGTTTCTTCGCCCAGGGATAGATAGGCGACGAGCTGGCAGAAGTTCATGATGGCAAAGATCCAGTACATCCATTGGTAACCAATGTGTTTCGTCACGAAGCCCATGATGAAGGGTCCTCCTGGCGTCCCGAGGGTGAGCATCAGCGTCCACCACCCCAGCTTCTGGGCTCGCTTTTCAGGTTCACAAAGCTCCGTAATGATACCGCTGCCTATACCCATAGGTGGCGAGATAAAGATCGCTGTTAGGACGCGCGTGGCCATTTGAGTTCCATAGGTTGTGCAGCGAGCTCCACCGATGTTGCATACCATGCTCCCGAGCACCGATAGTATGAACATATGATAGCGGCCGTAGATCGAGGTAAGAGGCTTCCAGAATAGGGGGCAGATCCCTAGAAGCAAGATCTAGGAGAAATGTATGTGAGCTAGGGCTTCCATGCACTTTTCATCACGCAGACTCAAACGAGGCCGACTAACCTGCACCGAAGTCAGATAGCTTGCTTGCGGCACCGTGACGCCGTACACCTCGGCCATGGTGTCGTATGCCGGGATAATGCCTGCGGCCATGAAAGTTGCGACCATTGAATGAAAAGCAACCATCAGAATCTGGGCATTTTTCTTCCACTGTGGCCATTCCTGGGGGTTGCTTGCGGAAACACCTGACCAAGGGTCGCAGACTTGGTCTGGCACTCTAGAGGATACATCTTCGAAATGAGTTGCGGTATTGTACTCGCTTCCTTTGACATCTGAATCAGACGTGTCTGGAGCTGACATCTTGCTTTTATCGTTTTTGAGAATGGGTAACAAGGAATCGTGCGGTATAGCGCCACACCAAGTAAGGAGGCAAAGTATTGCCACCGCTCAAATGAAAAGCACTAATAGCACCAGCACCGTACAAGAGATTATGGCGCGCGGATTGGTAGTTCCACGTCTCTTCTCATCGCGTTGTGCTGGACCCTTTATACCATGTTCCGTCCGCTCTTCTCTGATACCCCATCTACCCCATGGGGAAGGATAGGGTGTAGATTCCCAGCTGGAGCGGGCCTGGATCCGCACTTTGATAGCGCACGGCCGTCAGGTCAGGGTCTCATTGGAACAGCTCAATGATATACATTCTTGGCACTGGAAATGAGAGGAATTGTTTCCGACGAGGCTCAAATCGCGGCCAGAACGTCGCTTACCCGAGGGTATACTCGATACAACTGTAGAAGTATCGGGTCCGCATCCGATACCATCCTTGCCATCCGTCGGACACAATCCACTAAACAACCTTATCCATTCAAGCTCTCAGCGACTATTTGGTAGACGTCGTTCGCTCTCAAGGGATACACAGGGGCACTGTGGTCCAACCGCTCTGGATTTGGAGAACCGCGCCGGTACTGGCGATTTGACTTCCTGCGAACTGGAAGAAAAGTGTCAATCTCAGATGCGATTCCTGGAAGATGGACTTGGAATCTTGTTTGATACCTGTGGATATTGCCACTCCATTGATGTCAACACTCCCTCTAATATCCTGCCAATTCTTCCTTGTGCTTGCCCCCTCTCTCTGTACTCTTTCTCGCATAGTGGCTCGATACGGTCAGGAGAGTGTACTGTATCACAGCTCAAGGTCACGTTTCAAGTCTTGCTTGTGATCCGTTAAACAAGATTAGAGTCAGGATGTAGAGGCTCGAGGGGGAAAGTGAGGATTGCAGAAGAGTTGAAGGTACTGCTGTAACGTTGGATTCCCCGCACCTCGTCCGCACAGCATTGCATGCATTGCGAGGCATAATGTCGGGTGAATGAAGGCCGAAGAAATTTTCCGTGAGAGATTGCATTCTGCTTGGCCTGCGGCTTCCCCCGCATTTTGGACCAGTTTCTCCCCAGATCATAGGCGAAGGCGGGGGACCTTCCGCTTCGATCGTCCCTTGGCATTTCCTGCAATCCAACAACCATCGCTTCGAATCCCACTTAGCAGGTGGACTTGCGCTGCAATTGTTTGTCATGAGTCAGGACAACCGTTCATCCGGGTTGATCTGTGCCCGATGGCCTCCATCATGCCACCGACTATAAAAGCAAGACGATAGACAGTGCGTCATGTCACGATGGGCAGGAACTTTGCAGTCGAGATCCGCCTACAGATTCAGTCACGATGCGCCAAAACATTGCCATTGGCGTGTTGGCGACATGCCTCACCTTAGCCTCTGCAACACTGCGAACCAGCCAGAATGAAAGCACGATCACTGTGGCAAATGACCGCCTGACCGCGGTCTTTGCAACCAACAAAGGCAGAATTGTCGACCTCTCCCTCGATAACCAGGACCTGCTCGGTCCTCAATCAGGGGATACAGGGACCGGTCCCTACCTGGATTGCTATTGCATCCCTTCGGGCTTCTACACACCTGGATCCACAAGCCCCAGCATGGAGGTCGTGGAGGGGACAGATGCTACCGGAACCAAATATGCCGGTGTGGTCATGAACGAGACATACCCTCCGACAGGTCAGCAATTCCAGCAATACTGGTTTCTACGCGATGGTGAGACGGGTCTGCACACTTTCAGTCGGCTCGCCTACTACAACGGGACTACGCCGTTCTTGCGCAACTTGCAAGAGTTCCGGACTCTTTTCCGGCCTAACACGGATTTGTGGACGCACCTGACGTCGAGCGAGGTTCAGACTGCTCCCCTCCCCAGTAAAAAAGCCATCAGCGAAGAAATCGTCGTTCAAGATGCAACTTGGACATTCAACAACACCCCCGACGATGCGTATCATACTCAATTCTCGGAATACTTCACCAAGTATACTTTCTCAAATGGTCAGTGCTGTTATTCCTTCATCTTCCATGTCGCACATGGCTGATAACTCCGAAGATTGGCGCGATAACTCGGTCCACGGTATGTATGCGGATGGAACCACGTCTGATGGCACGACGTACGGAGCGTGGCTGGTGATGAACACAAAGGTGAGGTTCATTTACAACGAGCAGTACACAGGGAACTAACTGTAATACTTGCTAGGATACATACTACGGTGTACGTTAGTGTCATATACAAGCCCCCTCGACTAGGCTGACCATACTAGGGACCCTTGCATTCCGACCTCACCGTTGATGGTATCGTTTACAACTACCTGGTGTCGAATCACCACGGAGAAGGAACCCCCAACATCACCTACGGTTTTGACCGCACTTTCGGTCCTCAGTACTACCACTTCAATGGCGGAAAGGGATCCAGATCGACCTTGGAAGAGCTGAGGTCTGATGCTGAAACATATGCGAACCCTAGCTGGAACGTGAAGTTCTATGATTCTATCGCCAAACACGTGGTAGGGTATGCACCTTCAAGTGTTAGAGGTACAGTGCAGGGACACATCAAGCTTCCCAAAGTAGCAACCCGGCCGATCGCTGTACTCACGGTAGATGGGCAATACTTCCAGGACAACTCAGTTGACCCGTCATCTTACCAATACTGGGCCGAGATTGACAAGAACGGGAAATTCAACATTGACCACGTCAAAGAGGGCAAGTACCGGCTCACTGTGTACGCGGACGGTGTC